CTAATGTATTCCAAAACTAATAATTAATTATTCACATCTATTATTTTTTTATATTTACAAAATATATATCGTTATGGAAATATATTTCGACTCTATTATTCGTGAAGAAATTTAGTTATTTACATCCGATATTCATTTACGTGATTAAAATTTAACCACCATAGTATGCAACACAACTTAAAAAAGGAAACGTTTAGTAAACATGACTGAAAGATAAGGCGACAAGTTATCTTTCGTTATTATGACTTATCTATCGTTAACGAAAACACGAAAATCCGTACAGAGAAATACGGCTCTTCCCAGTTCAAAAGCCGCGTTATACAATATTCTTAACGACGGGTGGACCAACATTTCTAATCTTCGATTTTGATAAAACTTTTACAAAATCTGGCCACCTTTACGAATCGTAATCTGTAGAGGTTATTAGAGACGTCGCTAGAGTTTACAAGCCCCAGTGCAAACTTGATACATACTTGATGTTATCTTCGATACTAAACGCTGTCTTATATCAGTGGCAAATTAAATAAATTTTAATAATTCTAAAATTTCTAAATTTAAAAACTTCTATGTTCATAAATTTGAACATTTCTAAATTTGGAAATTCGAAAAATTCTAAATTTGTAAAATTAAGGATTTTTAAGAATGTAAATTTAAAAACTTTAATAAGTTAAATAATCATAATGAATTTATTAGATATTAATCCACAATTAATACTTTTTTCATAAAATTTAGATGTTTTCAATAAAACCGTTTATAAAATTTTTATCCAATCTTTAATAGAATTGTTATCATTCAGTAATACTTGACATAATTTTTTTATAACATTTATCATAAAAATTGCAGTATATTTTCAGTTTGAACTACATTGTTAAAGTATTTGAAAAAATAGTGCATTATTGATTGATACATCTATGAATAATTTAATACTTCTGAAAGTCTTGTGATGCTAGTATGTTGAGTAAAGTAATATTAGTAATGATAAGAGTTCAACACATTATTGCTGAACTTTGAATCACTTCGATGCTCGTTTAAAATCAATAACAATTGTTGGTTGTTAAGAAGCCAGAGATTAAATTATCTCAATATGTACTTGTAATGATACAATATCTTGGAAATTTTGGGCAGTTGTAGTACAAACATTACTAAGATATTTCTTTAAAACTTAGTTACTTGTAAATAATAATATCTAAACACTAATGAAATTAAAAACAAATAATTATAGTACAATGAAAACAATTACATTAAAAATCATTATCTGTTATTGTAATTAAATAAAAAAGTTACCTATACATTGACGTTAAATAAATAGATAAATAACATTTGACATGTATAATAACTGAAAACATCTGTTGGTACAGTATATACATTTTTAATTAACACAAGATTATTATTATAAACTTTTTTTAAAAAACCGAAGGATAAATATTTCTATTAAATTTAATAATATAAATATGAAAATTTAGAATAAAATTTCAGAAATAAAATTCGAAGAAAAATATACATTTTTTTCAGTAGTTTATATTCAACGATTAAATGTAAAAAAAAAAAACATATTTTATTTACTTGTTTTGCATAAGTATTATAATGCATCAAAAGTTTTGTATTACACAATTAAAATTTATAAATAATAATAAGATTAGTACAGTTGTTCAATTTACCGATGTCCTACTTTTTTCTAATTATTACATAAAATACTTCAGTTATTGTAAAAAAGGAATATCTAACTGTAGTAATTATTCTCTAATTTGTCAAACTAAATTTACTGTGAAACAAAATGGCAGAGTTATTCGCCATCTTTTAATCCACGTGTGTTGGATCATTGGTTACTGACCGCCATTACTGCCAGAGACTGAAATGCTTAAAGTCCTAAATTTTTATTAATCTACAAATAAAAGTATATTAAATATAATGCAGCATACGATTTCACCAATATCCTAATTATTTATTTTATTAAAATCACTTGAAGTTGAAAAAATGTTTCGTTTTTCAACTGCCGCCATTCCAGTATGTATCTCAATTTTTTTTTAAATCTTATACTACAATCGTAATATTTTATTCACAAATTAATAATAACATTTTTATTTATAAATTAAAAGGAAAATTTTATCTTCAAGCATTTCAGTTATTAGTCGCCACTAAACGAGGTTTTAGCGAAAAAAGATAAAAATTCTAAAAGAAAAAAAATACTTTCTAACTTTCTAAATTGAAATACAATTTTATCATTTTTCATGTCAAAATATATATTTTGTATTTTTAAACCTAATAATTTTCTATTTTTTTTTAAAATCTTATATGCTGTTCATGGTTCAATGATTCGTCTTCAGTAAAATTAAAAATTTTTGAAAGATTTTAATCAGTAACTTAATATCAATAGATAAACCTGAAAATAGAAGTTGTATTTAAAATAAGGTAGTTGACGGCACTTTTCACCCTCTTAGACGGCCATATCTGTTTTGAATTTTAGGATTTTTAATTGTTTAAGTTATAAATTTTCGGACCCGCTGAATTTTAGAATATTAGAAGTTCAAATTTCGAAATTTCCAAAATTTCGGTTTTTGTAATTACGGAAATTTGGGAATTTGACATTTAAAAATTTCAAATTATTAAAAGTCACTAAAGAAATTGATTAGTGTCGAAAGATCCAAATTTTTAAATTTCCAAATTTCCAAACATCCAAATCTCCAAATTTTCCAAACTATCAAACACTCAAACCTTCAAAACCTTATTCCTAAATATTCTAAATGTGCAAATTTGAATAATGGCGCCCTTTTTCCTAAGAGAGTCTAGTATGATCTTCACTGAGAAATACAAAACTGTAATTGTACAAGCAGTTCTGCAAGGTGCAGTACTAATCGTCTTACTTTCTCTAATATCTTTGTTTCCGAAAATTCATTTACTAACAGCTACAATTTATTAATTTTATATAAATTGTTTTAATGACAATATTATTAATAATTGCTGGCACAAATTAATTTCATACAAGTTATTCATTATATTCATTATAAGAGGAAGTCCAGAAGTAATGAATGACAGACAGTCACGCTGTTACATGTTACTAGCCAATCGTTCAGCAATCGCGCAAGGTGTCACAAATGGTAAACAAAAATGTTACTGCAGAACGCATGCCCTATTTGTGATTCGCGTTCGTTGTTTCGCGAAAACATGGCGCAGCCAATCGGAAGAAAGGACAGGAGGAAAGAAGATATTTCACCAGGAGTAACCGATTAAAGCGTCTCTAGTATAATATACGTGTAAGACTATTCGAAAGTTTTTGTGATGCATTTGCTACGATGAATACGGAACGGAGGTTCTCATATCGAAATAATATCGATATTTCGAAATGTCGATATTATTAAAATAAATGAAAATAACTAAAATATACTGTAATTTGCAATATTATCGTTTGTATTTACTTATTCTCCTTTAAAATGCTAACATAACCTAAGCTGATACATAATTTCATCTTTAAAATTTAATTATTCTCGTCTAAAATTAGGTTACATTAGAGTGGAAGTGTAAACACGAATAAATAGTTTTGAATAATAGAATTATGTATCAGGTTAGGTTAGGTTTCAAGTTTGAACGAAAATAAGTAGATTTGAATGATAAAGTTACCTACTGCAGTGTATCTCAGTCACTCCCATTAGCCTTAACAATATTATCGATACATCGTTTAGTATCGTTAGAATATCGATAATTTATCGATACTCAACAGCAGCGGCTCTAACGCGGAAATGTTAAGCTTGTGAAAATATGTAAAGAAAAAAAAAACGCAAAATTATATTTCATTCTTTATCGCAAAGTAAAATATATAAATCGTACAAAATCAAAATCGTGGTTTATTTTTACTAAGTTTCTTAGATTTTACGGTAAGATACCGCACAATTTTTTTATATAAAATTCTAATATCCGTATGCTACGTGATTAATAAAAATAGTGTAATATTAATTTGAACAAATTTTAGATTTTTATACCTGTAAAAATATATTTATTTTTCTGTTGCATTTTTTTAAAACTAATGTTGCAAATGTGTATACAACGTACATAACATTATCGCGTGTTTTGCCATTAAAATTGTATCGTCAAAATATTACGAAATTTATTTATGCGAATAGTATTTTAAAAAATACCTTTTTTTAGTAATCACAGTTGTAATAAACAGATTATTGAAAATGAAGTTATAATAATTAAAATTAATTATACTCCGAGTTTATTTTCATGACTTATTAATTATTTCTTAATTCATGAAATTACTTTAAATTGTGCATAATTTGTGTTTTCTCCACACCCGATTTTTACTCTAGCTAAAATTTAAAGTAAACATTACTGAGACCTTTAACATTATATCTCAGTTGATAATTGAAACAATAATTAAATTAAAATTTCTTTTTTCTTTTATGAAAGTAATATAAATGTAATCTTGGTAAGAAATAATTTAATTATAACCTTGTAAAAGTATAAAATAAATAAAGCAAATTAAAATCATTTTTATAAAATGATTTTTCAATAATTTTATCATGCTGAAAAGTTTAACAAATCAATACTGCTAAACAATAATTAATTTCTAGTGAGACAAAATTATGCAACTACAATGTTTACAAAATTAATAATTACAAATTACAATGACCATAAACATAACTGAAGAAATTTTGTCAATTAGTAATAGTTATATGATGTTACATAACACTGTAAACATTTCAAAACATTAATATATCAATTTGTTGTAGAAATCATGCAACTGTATTATTTTTATATTTTACATGTGTTCTATTACATCATATAAGATACAGTTTAACAAGGTATATCCACTGGTTTTTAAAATAAGACATAAATTATATTAATAATAATCTTACTGTTTCTTATTATTGTGTTGCATTAGTAAATATGTTAAGTTTGTTTTTTATTAAAGTAGAGTGAATCATGTTCTGAACGTTCGTATGATATAAACACAAACTTCTAATATCAATTAAAAATTCAGGCAATACAAAATTGAAACTTACCACCACCAGAATTCCAGCAATTATCAGTCATCCCTGTTTATCCATCTGTAAAGTTGGCACTACATTATTACACTGATATCCAAGTTGTTCAGTTACATCACATCACTGACGTCTTCACCAAAATATGCACTATCAACACACTTTTCATAAACTCTTCGTAATCGATAAGTAAATTTGGATACAGGAAATTGTATTACACCAATAGAAGCTTTTGATTCATTATTAACCCCACAACACTCTTCTGACATATCAAATAAATGTAAATGATTTACATATTGAATTACCTCCATGCAAATTATTTGTAAAAATGCAGTATGTTTACAAAGAGCTGCTAAAAGTAATATTAAGGAAAATGCATGTTAGTAATTATCAAATTTGTTTCATTTGTTTGAGAAGAATCAATAACAAATATCTATTCAATGTTTTCATGTCTTCAGATCTCCTTCGTATTTAAATTAAATGCTCCCATTTATTAACAGTCAATAAGATCTTTAATTTTTATTATTAGATAAATCAAAGTACTTTTAGTCCAATTGTTAGAACTTATATTGTACAATAATATATTGTAATTTAAACATTGGAATTTTCACAAAGACAAACATTTAGTGCAAGAAATGAGGTAAGCATATCTCTTTAATTTCATATTTAACAAAATTGTGTCTTAGGTATATCGTACTGCACTAAGTGCTGGAAAATTTAATTTTAATAAGAACTGACAAATATTTCCATACTGAATATTACTTTTGCAAATATGTATTCATCTTTTAGTGCAGTATGCTTATAAATTCAAACATTTAATTCTTTTTTTAAGTTACAAAATTGACAAAAGATATAAGATGTTTTTTAACATATGGTAAAAACAAATATTTTGTATGTCAAATAAATATAACTGAATATACTGAAACAATTGTGCTAACGATTACTCTCTGCTAACATCATTTGTATTTTTTTGTACTATATAATTCCAATAATAATTCTAATAATAATAATAATAATAATAATAATAATAATACATTCGAACAACAGTTATATTTTATTCTACTGTCTCTATAAATCAATTATCAAGCCTTTTTAAATTGAAATACATATTTACTAAAAATGTCTAATTTTTTAAAAGAAAGATTTAATTTAAGATGCTAATTATTGTATAATTGATGAGTAATCATTCTAATAATACTACATCATTATGACCATATTGATTTTATTAGTAACACTAATTTCTAAATATCTGTACTGATTAAGAATTGTTTAAGCTTTAAATCAATACAAAATTATTTTTGTATTTAAGCTGAAATAGTCACTGAAGTAAAGTATACAATTGGCAATTATATATAATTATAAAATTGCATAGGTACAATAACTTTTATCAAATTTTATATTTATATTTGTTTAAAATCAACTGTTAATAAGAACATTATTTTTTAATAAAATTTTTAATTCAGTAAAATACTGTTTGAGTCCTTTTTCTTGGCTGCACTAAAAGACTGCACATATATATTAATTAAAAGTTTTTAATACTGATCATTACTTTTGTATTAAATTTGCCATGAAAATGAATAGTGATTTTAAATTAACCCTACCTAATTAGTATTGGACTTCACACACTTAAAAAAATCTTTTAATTAAAAAGAATAGTTTAAAAGTTTGAAATAGTTAAAACTAATTAAAAATAAAAAGAAAGAAAGAAGAACATATCTAATGGTGATCTCAGACAATTAATATATGTTTTCAATATTTTAGGATTCTCATAAGCAATGTATCAAATCTACCAAGTGCCAAATTTGCAAATCCTAAAATTTCTAAATTTCCAAATTTTCGAGTTCTTAGATTTCAAAATTTACAAGGGCTTAAATTTAACAATTTTCAAACATCCAATATCATGAAATCTCAAAATGTCCAAACAATCCAATTCTCAAATCCTAAAATTTGAAAAGGCTCAAATTTTCAAATTTAAAAATTCACGAATTCTCAATTTCTAAAATTTTCAAATTCTCAAACTCCATACTTTCCAAGTCCAGAAATTTTCAAATTCTCGATCAATATACAAGTATATTGTCAATACAATAGCGTCAATATTTCAATACTGTAAATGAATATAAAAAATTGTGAAATATTGACACGATATATTGAAGTCTCCATAACATGTTAAACTAGCGAATGATATATCCAAAACACGATTTCAATCAGCTTTCACGTAAATAAGAGCAGTCAACAAATACCAAGGAGAGGTTATGAAACCTCTGGTAAATAAAAGGAATCATATGATGAAAACAGAACGATATTATACGACGGATCAAGGTTATTTATGCGAATGAAAAAGGAATTATAGCACGAAACAGGATGATGTACCTGTTGTGCGTTGAAATACTGTATCACTCTAGTCAGCTTAAAACTTGAAGTAAGGCACAAAGCCGTTTTCTCATTGCGCGATCAGATCAGAGCGAGCCTCCCCTCGTTTTTTCTCAACGGCGCTCGGAGAATCTTCGATTCGTTCGAGAATTTTAAGGTTACCGAATTAAAAAGGGAATTTCGTGTCGCGACGAACCGTAGGTCGCATTTTAATTAGCAGAAAAATTACGGAGGAGGCTACTTGTAAACTGGGCCTGACATCATGACGGTTCTTACGAGTCACAGGAACGGTCGTAATACGTGATTACGAACAGACGACCGAACACACGGCAATGGGGGGTCTCTGTATTGTTCGTGTTACATCCCCCCTTAACACACATACACTCGCACACTCACTTTCTATCTCTCTCGCGCACACGAGCGTACATACACATACACGCACACGAGAACTCGCTCTTCTTCGTTACTTCCCTAGATAATTCTTTTTCGCATCGATCAACCAGCAAGGTTAAACGCTCGTCGAAATACGAGACTGCATAAGTCGCGTTTGTCAATTTCGGCGGTTAACCGTGAAATGATGCATTTATCGAACGTACCTCGCGACACATAATAGAGCACCGTTTCTTCTCCTATTCCTCGATCACAGTTTCTTTCTCTTCCTCTATCTAGCTACCTCGCGCTATCTCTCTCTGTTTCACGGCATAGCGCACTTTGCTTATCGAAAGAAAGGGGAAAACTCATCTGGAAAATGGCTGCCACAGACCAGTTACTGATTTATCGCTTTTTTGCATGGCTACTGGAAACGCGGACAATAACAGACGTGACAGCACTAACGTCGCTAATATTATATCCGACGCGATAAATACTGGTACGGGATGAAAACACCGATTACGCGACAACGTAAACGTATATATCCTAGACGCCGGCACACACGTAATAATCGCACTACTCGCTACCTCCGACCGAGTATACGTACTAGTTTTTTCTTCCGGAAATCTTGCGATAACTCTTTTGTTTGCTTTCGTTACGCACACGCGTGAAAAGAGCACAGCACTCCGTTTTAACAGCGGGATTTGTCGCGGGAGAAACACCTACGACGAACGACAACCGTGAGCGTCTTGAAATCACCCCGATTTTCTTTCGCACGTATTCGACGACAGTGACGTCGCTTCACTATAGCACTCATACGGTTCCTCTGTCTCACTCGCATCGATAGTCTCGTTCGCCACCTTACGACTTCGGCTATTATCGGTGAACTACGATGTTTATTCGGCGCATCGGCTGACCAGTCACGGTTCACACCGCGTCGTTCCTGCTCTCGCGTCGTTTACCTATTGCTTTGCTACTTTCAGATAAAAGATATCATTACCATCGATTCATATGTTAATTACTCAACAAAATCTTACAGTCGAATGTAGTTTCCTGATTTTCCAATTATTTTTTTCATCGTGCTGCCGTTTAATTATTTTCGGTTAATTAGGTACATGTTATATATTAAGGGTAGATTTTTGTACACCTGCGAGCATGGTAGGTTTCCATAGGGAAAATGGTGACATAAAGAGAAAGGAGCATCACTTGCTGGTTTGTGATTAGTCAATTTCTAAATTTAGAACTTTTTAAATTTGGGATTTTTTAGGTTTAGCGATTTGGAAATTTAAGGATTGAGAATCTAAAAGTTAAAAGATTTGACAATTCGAGAATGTAAACATTTTGCAATTCGAGAAATTGAAAGTTCGAGAATTTTCAAAATTTAAGAATTAGGAAATTATTTTACAACTTTGACATATGTAGTTATGTAAATAAAATTTTCGGATATTTCGGATGTTTAATAGATCACCGTTTAAACATAAAATCTAAGTTTGAGATTTTTCAGATATGAAATTTCTGAAATGTTGAAATATAAAAATTTTATATTTTGAGAATTTATGAATTTTTAAATTTACGATTCAAGTTTAGTAATTCAAGGATTTTTGAGGTACAAAACTTAAAAATTTGGAAATTTGAAAATTTATAAAATGTAGAAATTAAACAATTGCATCAATTACTTTGGTATCATAATAAATGTTACCCAAATTAGTATATTGATATTAATTATTGAAACATCATTTATCGCCTTTTTCTCTAATTATATGCATATACTGAATGTATCGAAAGGTAACACTTAAATATTTCGAAAATTATGAATGATACGAATGTTTCGAAGTAAAATTGCATGGTATCGAAAGAGACATACTATGCTTTCGTCTAATCAGCTCTACAATAATCTTGAAAAGTACTGCAAAGGTCATGATTGATTCCTTAAAGCATTCAAAACAAAAGAATATCGGGGCATAATATGAACAAAATTAATTTGTGTCATATTTAAAACTTTTTTATGAAATATCTAGTAAACTATTGGTTTTTGTAACGTTATAGTCTAATATTTAATACTTTCTTTCGAAAAATCAATTCATACGAAAATGTATTAAGTTTTTTTCAAGATCATCACAAGGTTGAACAAACAGGAGTATATTACGTACGTATTGACATCATACTATTCACATATATTTATATTTCGAGATATTTGAGCGTTGACGGTGTTTTGATACATCCTGTATGTAATATATTGTGGTGGTCTTTTAAATTTGTAACGGTAGAATTTTCTAGGCAAAATGGCGACGTAGAGAAAATAAATCCCACCACTTTTTGGTTTTTGATTTGTAAACTGTCAAATTTAGAATTTTAGAAATGAAACATTTTTAGAAATTTGCAAAATTGAAAGTTTGAGAATGTGCAAATTTGAGAATTTAGGTAATGAAAATTAGAGAATTTTTGCATTTGGGTGTTTAGAAATTTGGAAACATCAGAAATTCAAAATTTAGTTTTGAAAATTTTTCAATTTATGTGGATATGTCTCTTAAAAATCGAAAGAAAATAGAACGCTCCTGCTCCTACTATACATCTTATCCAAAGAAAGCATACATTGCACCAGAGTGTACATATAGTAACTTCGGAACGATATAAGAAACAAAATTAATTTATTTACTCTAAAAAAAGCAGTTACTTTTTGTAAGATTAGAATTTATAGGTTATTACTCACTGACAAAATTAAAAGTAATTTAATTATGAAAATAATCGTTTTTTCTGTTATGCTTTCAAGATTTAACTTAAAACATGGTGTTATTAAAATAAATTATAACGAACGTAATGATAACGTTTTAAATACTGCCACTGTTCAATATCACATTCTTATATAGGAATTAACTAGAATATATTTTATTTCTTATAAAAATTCTATAAAATAAAAATAAAGCACGCTTTTAGAAATGTATTAGTTCAATTGTTTTAATTATACATTTCAGTACTAGTCGCTAAAAAAATTATTACACAAAGAATTATACAACCTAAGATTTAAATGTATAAAACATATTTGACAAGATAACAAAACATATATTTAAATATTATTCTTAAGTTTGGTACTGTTAATATTAAAAGTCCTATAAAAGCTACTCATCAATTTTTGTCTTTTATTTTCTTGATAAAAATGTATGTAATACATAATAACAGATACTACAATAAATAATTAATCACAATATACATCATGTACTTTCATATTCTAATTAACATAAGAAATATTTGCATACATACACTCTGCATTTATATATACATATGCTGTGAAATGATCTATAACTATAAAGAGTACATAGATTTTTTCAGATCAATTTGAAAAAAAAAAAAATAACCGAATTGCATGTATGGTAAACCAAAGTTAAATATAAATAAACATTACTTCAAACATAAAACGCATATTATCACATTTATAAAACCCTGTTTACATTTAAATAATATTTAATAAAAATTAACAAAATTTCGTGTTATGTTCATTGCGGATAATACAAATTAAATAGTGTTATTCGTATAAAAGTTTTTCATATATATTATATATATATAATTCGTAAGAATAACAAGGTTGTTATGACTAAAAGATACAATGTGAATTGACTAGTATAGCACAATTTCATAACATAAGAATCTAACAATCTATCAAAAGAACTTCTTGTAGTTATTAACTGCACATAAATTTATTTATAGTACTCATAAATCACCAGTCCTATGCCAGTTTATTTGGCACTCGTATTTAAATAAAAACTTTATCATTTTTTGAGCTGTTTCAATTTATCTGAAAATATCAGCAACTACAAACAAAATATCACAATGATTACTTAAGTTTTGGAATAGATGAAAATATATGGCGCCAATTATTGTTTTTAATCTTCTTATATAGTTCATAGTAACGTAATAAACTTTTTTCTATGAGATAAAATCTATTACCAGGCAATGCATTTTTATTTGGCCGCTATAAATATTTGGTCAATAAAAACAAATTTTTGTTAAATTCACTGGTAAGTAGCAACCAGTTGGAAAAAATGTTTAAATCAAGTCTAAACATTTTAATGTAAAAAAGAAATATTATTTCAAAATGCATTCCCTATTTCATCTAACTCCATATATTATTGAATATGTGTTAACATTTACTAGTTTAGTTATATTATAAACAGTCTACATACTTATTACAAGTATAGCATTTAAATTTGTTATTCTTTTTATAATTTATACAAATGTATAAGTAAATAATAATAATTATTTAATATTATACATTCATATAAATTTGTATAAATATAAATAAAAAACTGCAATTACTTATTTTAAAACATATAAAGCCACTTAATTTTTTATATGCCTTCTTATAAAAAATTGTCACTATCGTATTCTTTTTATATTCTCTTTTATAACGTAATGCGATGTATATTGAAATTAATATTTTATATTGTGGATTACATTTTATAAATAAATTCTGATAATATAAAAATCTGAATATGTTCAATAAGAGAATGATACTGTGTAAGAAGTATGTAATGAGCAATATTGTGAAGTTTTTGAGATGTATCATTTACATTGACGAATTTTCAAAGGATTCACAATACACGGTATAGTGTTGTGTATACGACTGCTCAACTATGTCCAATTATTATACTAAAATATTCTGAAATAATACTATAACATTACTAAAATAATGTTAAACCACTAGAAATGAAGTGTGTTAATTAATATGCTTGTTTAAATATACTTTCTTAATAAATTCTATGTACAAAACATAAAACTGCAGGTACTTTTCAATTAAGAATATTTTTCTATATAAATAATAATAAACTAGATGCACATATTACATGGTAATGTTTAATAAAGATATATTTCTTCATTTCAAAAGAAAGAAGAATTAATAATTAACACAAAGAAATGAGGAAAATTAAAACATATTCCAAATAATATTGCAATAAAATATCAACTAAAACCTTGTATCTCTTTTTTACAACACTATATATCACATTAATATATTCTACTGTTCAGATTTCAATTCAAATATTCTATTCATTTTGTAATTATTTCTTAACTTCTTACCTGAACTTTTCTCAGATATAATTAAATTTCCTGTTATACACACCAACAGTTTGCATTGTACGAATACTTATTCTTGTTCTACTATATCTCGTTTACTGTGTATAGTAAGAAACAATATCACCTGTTACATTTGGTTTTAGAAACATCTTTTACAATTATGGTATCAAACAATTAGAACTTTCATAACTCCTTATATTAATCTACAGCCACTCCTAGATTCGTATTATTGGTAGATACGTCCATTTCTTCGTCTTCGATAGCAGTTTTGTTAGTTATGTTTGAAAGTGTTTGATGTATAATTGTAGTTTGATTGTCAGCCTTTCCTTCTTCAACAGGTTGAACTGTTGTTAATGTACTCCACCAATTAGAAAATGCTCCTTTAGCTTGTGAAAGTGCACCACCTAACAAATAAATAAATAATTAATTATAAAAATATATATTAGATATGTATATGATTATCGATTCAACTAACCTACAGCTTTTCCTGTTGTTGCAACTGCTCTTCCGGTTGATGCCATCGCTTGATTTAATTTTCTGCCACTTTCCGTATTTTGCATTGTGCTGTAGTACAATGAAATAATTTATTCTTCTATCCTCATTATTGTATTATTTAATTAATAAATACTTACTGTGATAACCGTAATTTCATATCTTGTACAGATAATTGTCCTGCAAATGGATGTCCAGGATCTATGCTATTAATTTCTGGTTTATTAGTACTACTCCAGATCTTGTAGTTGTTCGTTGTACGCCAAGCAGCCATAAATGCAGAATTATAATGGTCCGACTGTCGAGTATCTTGTTGTAGCGATGTTCGTAACATACTTAATAAATAAACTCGAAATTGAGTTCTAATCCATTCATCTCCACCTTCCCAGCCTACACCATCTAAAAAAATATCTTTACGTGGCTCTGAGACATGTCTAACTATATAATCCGCAAATCTCAGATCTTCGGTCGTAAGATGCAGTTGTCTTCTTAATTCTGGATCACTTGTTTCTATTCGTGTATTTTCGACCTTCACACATTATAATATAAAATGTACCATTAACGATACTTCTTTTCTTTACAATAAACGATTTGAATTTGAACTTACCTCTACTAGCACATCGATAAGTTGTTTTTTCTGCTTAAATAAAACATTTGTTGCTCCCACTATATATCCTCTAACATTAATATCTGCCAAAAGATCCAAATATGGTAAAGATAGATATGGTAAACACAGATAGCCCTTAAAAAATGAATAATTTGTTAATGATTCATTACATAATACATATTTTCAATAACCGGTCGCACTCTTATACCTTTGTAAATATACTTAATGGTAAACCACAAAGTTCTGGATTTATATGAGCGATCTGAGTAATATTATTTGTCAAACGTGCATCAGAGAGTGCATCGTTACTTGTATCGCGTGGTAACGGATTGTCAGTATCTGCTGTGCCTAATGTAATTGTATTTATACTCTGTACCCTGTGTACATTGTCATTTGATTTTGATGAATACACAGAATTATTTTCTTCCACATAAGATTCAGTACATTCCTGTGCAGATTCAACTTCGATCACTTTCATGCTCAAATTCTCATTTTCATTATTATTCTTTTGTAGTGTTATGTTTTTAAATTCGTCTAAACATTTGCTTTCCATAGTTTCAATAGCTTTATTATCGTTTATACATAAGGAGTTTCTGTTCGAATTTCCATTAATGTGTTCTTTTATTGTATCTGATATGTTGTTTTTAACAGAATTCGTAGAAGATACGTTATTATCAATATTCTTTGTTGATATTTCTTCTTCATCAAATGTAGGAATGGGTGACATAGGCCTTGAGGGTCTAAAGAAAAATAAATAAATATAAGTTAATGTAATTAAAAAAAAATACACTTTTATATTTTCTGTAATATTATATGTATTACCTAACACATGCAGCTTGTTGTAAACCATGTTCGATCATACCAGGATATAATGAGAGTAATGTTAATATAGTAGCACATAATGGTTGTACTGGTGACTGATAAAAAACTATCTTTTTCTCCAACAGAAGTAGTTTAAATAATAAAAGAACTTTGTGACGAAATTGCAATATAAAGTCTCTCGCAGATAATCCTATAAACATTAATATTAAAAATAATTTAATTATTTAAATCATTTTAAATGGAAGAAAAAAAAAATGATTAACACTACTATATAGTTACCAACAAAAACTTGGGGCGGTATTTGACTTTCACTGCTCATACAAGAATTAAGATGATGATAAGTATCTTCTAATAATGATACTTTACTAAAGTCACCTTCGTCAAAGTATGCATGTGTTATCAAAGCCATTTTTACTTGAATATGACCATATAATGGTAAGGTACTTAATACACAAACAGATTTCTGAACAGTTCCTCTTGTTATATCAGATGTACGATTCTTTAATTTCTAAAAACAATAATAATTTCTATTACTATGAGTTTAATTATTAAATAAATATTATAAAACACTAACATTTTTATTTTTTATAAATCTTATCTATTGTTCAAAATACCTAAGAGAAGTACTTTTAATTAAATAAATAAAACAATTTATAATAATATAAATGAGTTCCTATAGAAATTCATTACCTACATGTAAATAATATAATTAAAGTTTAAATTCAAACATACAAATTATAAATCTGTTTTACAGAGTTTTAAAGGCAATTTTTTTTAACGGAATGTCAAACTTTTTATGATACAATAATGAACTCTGAATATAAAAGTATTAAAATACACTTATTATTACTTATCTTATTACTTATCTTTCCTGAGGTATTTAACAGTAAATGAACATAAGATAGCTAACATGACACTTCGAATATATGCCAATAAAAATAATAGAATAAATCAAGTCAAATATCTCAGGGATGAAAAATTTTGTAATAAAACTTGACTATTATACTTTATATGCAAAATTCATTCCATTGAAATATAGTAAAAAGAAATTTCACTACAAAAAAGAGCTATTGATATCATATTATGCATTCTTTTGTACCATATAACTTTCATACATAATATTTTCACTTATGATATTAAATAACAATGATACTCTAAAAACCAAGTTTATGAGACATTTCAAATAGTTTAAAGATATCAATATTTGTAAAACTAAAGATACAGACATTGTAAGGGTATAAATATAAAAATATGTGGTTAATTTTGTATACACTAATAATAATGGACATAAAATGTAATACAGAGAAAATATATCAAACTAATAAAAGATTAATTATAATTTTCATTACCTCAACAGGAATTTGTCTAAAACATGAAATTCCATATATTGTGCATTTTGGATCATTTAAACTAGGTAAATGAAAAAAAACTGTATCTTCGTCATAATTATGAGATCCATCTGGTAAAGCTAAAGTCGGTAAATATTTCCACCCCAATGGACATTCGTTTGGAGCTCCGGGCACCAAAGGAGGAAATGAATATTCTACCTAATAACGAAGAACTATTATTGAAAAGAGTTATAACAATAAAATATATTATACAGTGAATTCTGATATTATTAAATAATGATTTCAACAAATAAATAACTACAAAGAAACAAATATTCGTTTACTTAAAAAGCTAGTATATTTTGTAATAACTATAAATATTATATATTTGTATGTAGCAAAAACAGTGTAAAATATATGTATACACACACTAACAATCTAATTGTATAGACGTAAAAGTATTAGTCAACAAATTATAGTTTTTTAAAAATTTTAACACTTCTTTATTAAATAATTAATAGTTTTCTCAAATAAAATATAGATAAGCAGCTTACTTGACACCCTTTTTTGTGATGAAATCCGACAACAATTACATGAAGTATTGGTCCTACCGATTCTGCCATATTTTCGCAATATACGTTAAAGAGAACTTATACGTTGTCTATAATTTGATCTTTATATTAATTCACCTCTTTCATTTCAAACAAATAAAAACACACTTTCTTACTAATAATTAAGCTATAACAAACGTACAGTTAACACGCGCTTTCAAGCACCATGTTAGTTTCACGCCTACCAACCACCACTTAACGGTTCATGTCTTACACTAGATCGGCATTGAGGAATAATTACAAAAGTCTCTATTTCATCAAACTATGCTTTTATTTTATATCTTACACTGTAAAGTTTCACACTAATTGTACATAATTATGATATAAAAACATATATAATTTTTTACTAAATGAAATATTTCTAAATTACACATGACAATGTAAACAATACCTTATCTTATATACAGAAAGGAAATTCAATATTTTTGAATACTAAAAGTACTTCCGGTTTTCAATTTGATAAACAAATTATATAATAATATTTTTCAAATCACTGTACCAGGTGTTTATTAAAAATTATTGTTAATGAAAATTTGAATAAACATGATCGTGTACATAAACATTAATAACTATTTGATATTTTATTAAAATATCATCTTTAGTAAAACTAATGTAAGAAAAACAGAAACATTCTGACAAAAGTAAGATCGTTTGCACTGCTCAATAAGAACATGCACTGATTCAATAATTAAAATGCTTTATATTTACAAAATTATATATTTTTCTACCTATAGTAGTAATACTTCCCTTGATTATAAAATACAGAAAAATAAAATTAATAAAAAATAAAAAACAAATAATTACTGAAATATAACAGAGCAATATAAAGAGAAATCTTTTATTGTATAATTTGTTTCAACGACTTAAATAGCATGTACAAGTATAGAAAGTAAAATTTCTCAGTCTATATCACATATCATAATGAAATATTTCATCTTAATGTGTTCCCCGTGTGATAATTATAAATTTTGGTTTTGTTTTTATAATCAAATTTTTTAAAAATATAACAGACATTAACGAAACAGATATATTATGTTGGTACAAAACATTACCACTCGTATAGCGACTTATCTTCACCAATTTATAGTCTTGATCTTTTTAAACGTATGGTCTGTGCAGTCTGCAGTATAGCTTTTATTATACTCCAATTAAAATGGCAGGAGCGTAACGCTTGTTTTTGGTCAGAAACATTAAGCTGTTTCCAACCACCAGCCTCATAGCTGCCTCTCTTCCCCATGTCACAGACAAGGAAGAAGAGGAAAAAGATGGGTGGAAGAAGTTTATTTCTGGAAGATGCGCTACCTGCGTACATTGAATCCTCGTGTTCCATCTGGTCCAAGAGGCATACGAAGAACATTACTTGGCAAATTACTACTACTTGACGTGATTGACTTTGGTTGTATTCTATTTATTTCATGCAACAGCTTCTCTTCTGGACTTTTTTCTTCACCTAGAATCCTCTTTCTTGCTTCCGCATATTCTTGTTCTCTCTATAAATATTTTTTACCACATAATTTTTTTATTTCTTATCTAAAAATATACAAATATACCTGTTTTAAAGATTTAATAGGCTGTTTTGGTTTATCTCCATTCACTAATGGTCCATCTCCGCTACCTTGCGAATCTCTCGTAGGTCTTTTCAGTATCTTTACTGTTGGTTTTGGAGGTACGTACTGAGACCTTATACCATCATCGCCCAGCATTATCATTCTTGTGTTTGTGCTATGAGTGGTTTTGAAACTGAAACACATATTACAAAAATGATAATTTATTCAAGTCGATATATGCATTATTATTAAATTTGTTATTATTAATTATTTTGAGTGATTATAAGTTATTTTCTAATCAATTTAAACTTTATACATTGTATATATTTTGATAACTATTACAATCTGTTATATTTTTATAACCTTTTATAGACCATTCAATTTTTCTAAACTTACCTAGAAGATTCTATTTCTTCTAGTGCTCCTACTGCATTTAACTGGAGGGCATCCAACTTTTTGTCAATAGCCTAAAATTCATTGTATTAAAGTTGTACAATGCATAACACAAGGAACAATATGTTGTCACATAAGCTTTTATTATGTACTTCTAGTCAACTATACTTCTCTTATTTTTTAAAATATATAAAAGATTGCTTAGAAAATTTGAATATTCTTTGAAAGTTTAAAATATTTAATGGTATAAGGTTATTTCATATAACATCAGAATCTTATACCGTAAAGTGAAAGTTCAAAACATATGTAAGATCAAAAGTCCTAATTAATATTTGATAATTAATAACTATTTTGATCGAAACAGAAAGATATCCTTATATAAAGTAACGTACTTTTTTCTTACTATATATGCTATCAATAGTCACATGGATATCTACCTATCTATACCAAAATATATTGTGGTTGTGTATAAATACAGTTCAGGAATAATTAAAATATAAGTGATCTTTATGATGGCGATATGTGACATTACTTTAATGTTTCAAAATTTGTCCGTTGTATATCTGTCATATTCGAAAAAATTAGCATATTAGAATCTTTCTTAGAAGTAGAGGTTAATATAATGACTTCGTTATTAATTGGACTTTCTATCGTAGTATTTCGAATATACTAAAAAAAAAGGACTCACTTCTGATTCTTCAATTTCTTCCCAACTTTCTAAAACGTCATCAACAGTTGACATTTTTCGATTTATGTATTAATTTTTAATGTCTAAGTATCACTCTGGTAACTTAACAATACAACCTTGGCATGAACCGAGGAAAGTATAGGCGAGTAGAAGATTGGCATATAGTATCTTTTAGCAAAAGAAAAATTAAAATAGTTGTATGTTATGTCACATTTGCCAAATAAAGACACTTAATATTTTCTGGTAAATTTCTTTTTGATGCCGTATCGAATAAAATTTCAATTCTTTTTAAACGTGCACTAAAATCTATATTATTGATTAACATATGTGGATCAATTTATATGACTGAATATTAATAGCAAATCTAATCGTAGAAAAGTATTTGTATAGTTTTGATGCATAATGTAATTCAAATAAGCAGTAAAATTCATACTTTTTAATTTGGAGATTGTACAATATTACTACTATAGTCACTAACGAGTTCAGTTTCGTTTTGTTCAACGGGATGTGAGAAGTCTTTCACCACCCGCCCAACTCGCTCTTGTTTCTTATGTGCGAGAGTAGGATGGTATCTTTGGCCACTGCTGCTATCTAATAAGGGTGCGTTTATACTAAACTAGCAAACCGACTGTTTGAATGTTCACAATCGGTACGGTGAATTGAATTGTTACAAATTGAACTGCGTCGGAATGAAACATACCGAGTTGAATAGCGTAGAATCAAATCATGTTGAATTAAAATACGTAGAATCAAATCGCATTGAATTAAAGTACGTAGAATTAAATCATATTAAATTAAAACTGAAATAAAATAAGTTGAATTAAAACGAGACAGGCTAAATCCCGTCTTATACTTCGAATGGAATCGCAACGAATCGAAATTTTGGAATTTAGAAATTTGAGAACTTGAATATTTGAGAATTTGAAAATTCTACCGTTAGCATTACGAAAATAGGACTATTATATATTAAAATATTATACGCTATCTAATGATTTAACTATATTTTTGAAATGACCTATATGATATTGCAAAAGATGTAAAACAAAGAATATGCAAAAAACAATTGGTGTTACGTCGCACGGGGCATAGGGTGGCAGTCAAATCTCAAAGATGTAACCATGCATAGAAAAACATTTATTATCTAATTAAATACTTTTTAAAATTATTTATACTTTCAATAATATTTTTGTAAAACGTCGTACGATTCTTATAAGTATAGCAGAATATATTACAGTAAATATTACATTTATAATACTTGTAAATGGTATCAGTTTTTCAAATATTTAATGTGTAACATAAAATATGAAATTTAAGTTGAATATAACATGAAGTACAAATAGAAAGAACGGTTGAACATAAGACTCCGTGGCGCAACGGTAGCGCGTCTGACTCCAGATCAGAAGGTTGCGTGTTCAAATCACGTCGGGGTCATAACTCGTATTTTGCTTTTTTTATTTATTAAAAACAGTCAGTATTATTGCATAGTAATACTTTTAACATAAAAGAAATTAAATTAATCGAGTGTTATAGGATTACTATCATTAGTATGTCACTAAAATGAAAGAACAGTCTCATTTCTGTGTTGGTTTTATTATAAATTATTATACTCTGGTTCTCATGTATAAATATATAACATCTAATGTTATAATATTGTTGGTAACAAAATATTCAAACAGATTAACTGTTAATATTAGAATGATTTGAGGTACAACCTGTTCTAAAGTCTAATATCCTTTTTATATTATACATATTATACACATAATAATTACAGACCAACTTTTTACAATATCATATCTGTTTTTGTAATATGATTTCTCTTTAATATAGTTATTATTGCATTATACATTTGGGTCAATTATTAATTCAAGATCTAAATATAATGACTAAAATATTTATATTTAATGTATAACACAAGATGAAATGAATGACATTTGATGTTTTTACTTATGTATTTATTAAAAAGTACTAAGTTATGTACAATGGACTATGCTATAATAAATATAGTTCTTAACATACATTTGTTATTCCATTTACTAATTACAGCATAAATACATGTATTTCTTAATCAGTTTCATGTTTACAGTGAAAAACTAAAATTGTTACAATGATACAAATATTATGCTGAATCTTCTTATCCTGTTATATGAAACATAGAATAAAACATTTTTGTTTGATAGTTATATAATTTTGTTGTATGTATGTAATAATATCATAGAAAAACAATTACTCAATTACATAAATATAAGTGATGGCAAGGAGCAATACAGTCAATTTGAGGTTATGTTTTACATAATACAGGTTTCATATTACATTTTTTATGTTAGAAGTATGAAAGAGGTATTTCTGTATTTGTTTGTGTATTTTATAGTTTTACTTAATGTACTATGCATAACAATCTCTGGTTTTAAAAACTCAAATGTTAATTTACAATATTTACAGACAATGAGATTCGCTGCATTTAGTGAGCACGCATATATTATACACAAATCACAATAGATATTTTCGAAGTTCAAAAATAATAAAATTTTCGAAAGTATAGATATGCTTAAATTTAAAAGCGAACTGTTTTATCGCGCACATTACATTTTAGAAAGGTGATTCCAGGAACTATATCAGAAACGCAACATATTTTTTATAATTAAATTTTACATTCAAGATCACAAGTGTAATGGAAATACTCCGGTGATTTAATACATAAAGAAGATATATTAGGTAATAGTTTGTTGCAAAGTAATTAATTTAAAAAGTTATAAGTATTTTGGTGGCACAATCTTATATTATACATTTAAAATTTTATATATTCCCGCCAATTGCTACAAAACATTGTCACTAGTGTATTTAGCGATCGAACGCAAAACAGCCAAAAGAAATGATTGACTATTTTTACGTTTTGTTAGCGCACACAAGTTGAAGAAAAATGAATTTGCAACGGGCTAAAAGTATTATGTATGCGAAAATTAAAAAATCTATCTTTTATAAATATCAAAAGCCTATCCATCTAATGATAAAAGACGACAGCTAATAGAACTAAATTTCGACAACAAATGTTCGAATTTTTCTTCAAATTTTCGATCGGTGAACAATTTCAAAATGCCAAACTTAAATATTGTTGCGTTTCAAAGCAATTTAAGGTATAATATCGTCTGTTAACACGAAAAAATCGATGTTAATTAAATTCGCACAAAAATGGCACCAATAGTACCATCTACCGGCTATTGACCGAACTAGCGAAATACTAAATTAAATTTTTTATTTAAATTTTTTGTCTGGGACAAACAGAACATTCTACGATTTCAACGAAATTGAGTCGAGTCCATTACAGTGCGCTAAAATCGCTGCAAATTATTATATTTTATGGTCTTCAAATCACCATCACAATTTCTACTGTGAACTATTTTATCAATTTATCATTTGTGAAACATTCTTAAGCTCTTTTATACTGCCAGTTGGAAATAACTACAGTTAAGGTAAGGTAATTCAAATTTGAGATTGTTCCTCGGAAAACGGCCATGCGGCAATTCGAACCAAACATTGCAAATACGTTCCTCTTCGTAAAAGGTAACATCTTATGATTAATTATTGGTGATTTGTGAATGTTTTACTACATACATAGAATTATTTATCTTACCGACGATTTCTGTTCACATTTATGTTTCAAAAATTTCTACTCTCTTTTCTAACACGCTTAGCACGTGGTAATGGTGTTTCATCTGTTCCATTGAGGTATTAGAGCATTCGATTCCTTCCCGTAAAGCGTAAAAATTGTTAATTTTTTAAAAAACAGGAGTATAATTTTTTATTTCGCTAGAACCGCTGTCTGTTGCTAGATGGGTCTAGCTGTATCATTTTTTCGTGATCATCAAAGTTATCGATCAAGAATACTTTTAACCCCTTCGCTTTTGATTCGTCGTCGGTCATGAAGAACTCTATTTTTGTTGACAAACGATTAATGTTGAAACCAATTAGATGTGATTTACGCAATCGTCATTTAAATATTTCAATTTTATTAAATAACAAAATCATTACAAATTTTGCAAATTTTGCAAATAAGCTCTTTTTTGCAAAATAAGATATCTGTGAGAATGGTCTTTGGCCACTCAAAAGGAAGAAAATTAATATCGACGAGAAACAGTATAGTGTGCACATTGTCCTGAAAACATAATCGGCATTTTTAGACTCGCGGAATATATTGCAAACAATATAAAATCAATATTAATAACTATATATTAAGTATATAGCACATTAATAAATAAATTCGGTATTAATTGAATTTTTATGGGAATGTGGCGACACCTACATTGAAAATGATGAACTGATCGAAATAATGCATGACCGAATATATATATTCAAAAATTAAAAATGTCATATTTCATGACTTTGTGGATACATTATGGTTCCTGAGGCATTCTAAAGCATATTCGTATTAATATTTGATGCATTTTATTGTCCATTGAGCCCAAAAAATCAATATTTATTGAATTTGGTTCAAAACGGTACACGATACGTCATCTAGCGGTTAACAAAGGAATTACACGGACCGCCATTTTCAACGTCACACATTCCGCAATAAAAACCGAAGCTCCCAACTCCCCAGAGAAGTGAATATTCCCTGATCAAGTTCAGCTGAGCTGATACACAGACAGCACCCTAGAACCATTAGTGTACAGTATAATGTGATTCTGAAAGATCGTCCGAACGATTTCCGTGAAAATGTCATTGTAGCATGGATTGCTGAGATCTAATGAGACTAGATCCTAGTTAATGTCAAGCTTTTCCACTTGTAAAAAATACTCATTGCATTTGTTGGAAAGTTTGGGAGCGGTTGAATAAGATCAATGTATTGAGTAATGTGGTTTACGGAACGGAAGATATGTTGGCTCTTCCACTAACTCTGTCAATGCAGTGGCCTGCGGCCATCTTGTTTGTTTACATCAGCATCTGTCTCACTCCTGCACTTCCGAAAATTCGACTTTATTAAGTATACGGCATTTATTGTTGTCTAAAAATACCTGACCACCCTGTGGTGAAGTCTACTAATGAGTACTGTATTCATAAAAACTTCATTTTTGCAATCATCGAGCGTCATAGTCGAATCTACAAAATTGACTCGTCTCTCTCACACCAATAACGCGTATATGCGATGTGCGAAGGACACGAGGATAGAGTTCTATGAACTATAAGGATGGTGACCATTTCCGTAGAGTTGTCATCTAGTGAAATGAGGAATATTTGACGAGTCAGGCTCGTGACGCACTTACGGTTCAGCTGCGACAAATCTTGTTTGAATATTTAATATATTTCTATTTGAAGTTCAAGTTCAATTATAAACAAAATAATCACAACAGTTTGACTTTATTTAATGATTTTAATACTATTGCAGTTAGTAGTTACTTTTGACTAACGCACCTGACAAACTAATTATACAATAAGGGATTAATTAGGTTATGAAGCTTGTGAAAGCATAAAAACTGAAGAGGGGCATCAATAGACAATTCGCAGTTCGAGTCCAATTATAATTTGTATAATCAAAGACAGAATAGTTACAGCATTTTGACTTTATTTAATGATTTTAATACTACTGCGGTTAGTAGTTACTTTTGACAAAAATACTCACTTTAATTTTGTCTGTTCTGATCGCACACTAGTCCGTGCTAGAGTGTCGTTGGAGTCTTCAAAAAGGGCAAACGGTTCGCCGACAAACAGTTTTGCCCTTCTCGAAGACTCCGCGACAAATTCAAAGTGCACACGCCCACGACATACGTGCGAACTTCATATGTCGCGTAAGCGCGACAAAGCGAGCGCAACGCCGTATGTTTATTTTACTCCTACCTTATTCAAATTGGCGCGCATCGTAACGCGAAGAGAAAATAATTCTAATTATGTTAGAAATTCCCAGAGGGCCTACGCGACGCCGCGAGTTTAATTTCAGTTTATTAATGTATACCTAAAAATATTTAGGAATATTAATTAATTAATATAATGAATAAATAATAAATTCATACACTCTCCCTTAAAAGCTATAATAAATACAAGATAAGTAACATAATGAACTAACCTTCCTACATCTTTCGGGAATCGAAATAAAGTTTCTTTTACTCCACGTTTCTCGCTACTTGCACTTTTACAGCCTTCTATGCAACATCGGTATCCACCTCTTTCGTTCATTTTATTTCACACTTTATATCTCTATATATTTATTTATTTCTTTAAGAAGGTACGCGACAAAAAAAACGAGCACATGTGCTTTTACCAGCTGTTCACAACCGCCATGTTGCTGGTTGTGCGATTCGGTCATGCGCGAGTGACAAATATTAGGCCACTTTTGGGCAGAGTGAACCTACTGTGCTTTCTTATACTGTGCCCTGACCGTGGCTTACTCCCTTTTTCGCATTGGTTCCAAGAAGGCTCCTGGTCCCGATGGCATGACTGGTGAAGCCGTGCATGCTCTCGGGAAAGAAGCGCTTGCCTGGGTAACTAAGCTGTTTAATTCCTGCAATTCCACCGGTTATTTCCCTGCTTCCTGAAAAAGTGGTCGCCTGGTTTTGATCCCAAAGGCCGGTAAACCTTACAACTCTTTTAGCTATCTTCGCCCCCTGCGCATGCTTCCCCACTTATGTAAGGGTTTTGAGTATTGTATTCGTGGCGTCTCTTGGAAATAGTCCGCGTTTCAGATGGTTTTTCTCGACCTCTGGACAGCAGACCCCCGTAAGCGGGGGTGCGTTTGCACCTTGGACATTGTTAGGCTGTGTGGAAGTTGAAGTGCAGTAGTTCTCTTCTGGAAATATATATAAGAATTAGTGGAAACAATTATACTAGAAACTCTATAGATAGTAGTAAAGACCTAGGTATAGCCTAGAGATAACTATATATAGCATGGTTGTAATAACGTTGTCAATAGACATAAGTGACCTTATAACACATTAATTAATTAAGCACTAATCATAAGCTCTAATCTGGCAAGGGGAAAGATTAGCCCCGAGCTGGAGGGAGGATATGGATGCGAGTGATACTGTGGGCAAGCTTTGTGGGATCAAGTGTTTATGAGTGTGCGTAGTATGTGTGCATGTGCATGACGAATATAGTGTGGGACCTGTATTGTGCTGTATTTAACTGTCTCAATAAATTTTACTTTATTGACAGGACCTTAGTATTATATAGGTAGGGGATTTTATTAGAAACTTGATCTAACTCCCTCTGGAAGGTTGGGGCCACTTGCGTCCCCACAGGTGAGCGTACACTTCTTGGGGGCAACTACCGTAGCCCGTCCCAAGCCGGGTTGTGAAAAGTAGAGGGGCCTAACCGTACCTAACCTGTATTTCCCCAACCGGCCACCCAACGCCGGGGGTGGAAGAAATACGGAGAGGCGATTGCTACCCCCCCGGCAGAGGAGCCCCAACTAGGCGGTGGTTTCGGTCCACAAAAGAAAAAGATGGTTTTTCTCCCCGTCAATTTAGTTTCTTAGCCAACCGTTCCACCATGCAAGCTATGTGTATTGTGATTAGCGAGTGGGATCGAGCTCGTAGTACTAATAGCCATTGCCTCCTAATTACGCTAGATGTAAAGAACACTTTTAATGCTCTAAAGTGGGAGAATATTCTTCGTGCCGCAAATTCCCGCGGTTTCCCCCCTTCTCTGATCCACATTCTTTCTAGCTATCTTTCAGATCGTCGTGTTGGCACTTTTCTTCTCGATGGTTCCTGGGTTGAGGTTCCGGTGTTTGCTGGTGTGCCCCAAGGATCTGTACTGGGTCCTCTTCTTTGGATTCTTGCCTATGACGGTGTACTGGATATTCTTCGTACCTCGCCCTTCGTACACTATCTCGGTGTTCTTTCGGTAACAGTCGCATGTATCATCATCATATCGACAGGGTATGCTCTAAGACATTGGCCGTGGCAAAAAGACTGTCCTGTTTACTTCCTAACCTTCGTGGTTGCGGATTCATCAGCCGCTTATTATATTACTGTGTCGTCAAATCTATAGTTCTTTACGGCACCCCAGTATGGTTCGAGGCCGTAAATTTCTCCAGTATCGCTCCACTCAGCGTGTTGGTTTTGATTCGTATCTGCCGTAGCTATCGTATCATGTCCACCGATGTATTGTGTGTGTTGTCTGGCTGCACTCCTTGGGAGTTCCTGATTCATTTCCGTACCATCTACTTCCACTTAAATCCCCTTACCGATGCCCTAGAATCTAGAATCTTCCTAGAATAAATGTAAACTCTACAATAAAGTTACGTATTTTTCAAATTAAATGTATATGTATATGTGAAAATTGTATTATTTATTGATTTCTAAAATGTTTATTCAATGTGCGGGTATAGAGTGGTGATGGAACTCTGGTATTCCTACTCTGTGGTTTTCAGTGTATACAAAATAAAAGATCACTAAGTATATGTATACACTCGGTGTCAAAAGTGTATGATGTTTGGCTACTCGTGGAATAGTGTGTGTTTCGTGTGATGTGGAACTGATTTGTTGTATACAAATATTTCAAATTCTGTATATAAGTGAAAATATTTTCTAGGGATATATTTATAAAGTTGTATAACTGCTATTTTTTATTATTTTTTAAAAAAGTAAACCGTGCGAATAAAATACTTCTTTCGTATTTGCAATTTGTTACATGTGTTAGGTTATATAGGAAGAAAGCATGGGAAAAGAAACTGAATCTGAAAACTCAAAGAAAAGAAGGAAATCTGTTAGTGGGAATTCTGGAATATCCCTTAAAGATGGAGATATGTATAAGGTAAATTAATAGTGACTGAGTTTATGTTCAGTACTAAAAGTAACTTTTTCCTTGTTTAGGCGATAATAAGTTATGAAGAAAAGGAAGCTATGGAACGTTTACCTGAAACTGACTCTGAAAACTTTTTGTCAACTTGTGATAGTATACGTAAAGCAATGAATAAAATAGCAAAACTGAAAAGCATTGGCGATCCAGGCGTTAGTTTAAGAAAATATAACTTTAATAACATAATATTATATTCCATTAAAATTAAACAGAGTTTTCAAAATGTAAATTACATTTCATGCAGGCAAAAGATGAAATACATGAAATTCAAATTCATACATCACTAGCATTTATCGAACTTAAGAAATTGAATAGAATGGAAAAGTTTCGTACAAAATTTGCAAGAGATTCTCTTGTGTCTTCAAAAAGTAGTGTAGACAGCAGGCATTTACACTTACAAAATTTATTGTATGAAGTGATGCATTTAAAAAAGGAAGTTATTAAATGTCTTCAATTTAAGTAAGTATATTTCCTCTTTAGAGTAGCCTTTTTCATCATTTTTGCATGTTATTTATATAATAAATTAATGAATATATTTTAATACTTAGATCCAAAGATGAATTAATACAACTGGTTCCAGAAGAAGAATTTTACAAGGAAGCACCTGAGAATATTAGTAGACGGGTATGATATGAAATAAAATTAATACCTAATAATTATGTAGTAACATGCAAGATAATGTTATTAACATAAAAAAATCTTTAGGAGATCACAATGCATAATCCTCATCAGTTAAGATTAGCTCGCTTAGAATGGGAACTAACGCAAAGAAAACAGTTGGCTGCACTGTGCGATGAATTGACTGAAAATAAGAAAGCAGTAGCATTAAGTATAGATTCTAAACAAACTAGACTTGATAATCTTGCACCGCAACTTCGTTCAATACTAGATGTATGTTTTACACTTTCATTATATAATTTATTACTAATGATAAAAATTTAAGTTTTTCTTTGTAGGCAAGTAAACCTCTTCAAGAAAGTCTTGGCTTACCATTAGATAAAATTAGACAAGAACATTATAAAGCGACATTACTTCCTTCACCATTATATGTTCTTTATGCAAAAGCATCTGCATACAGAGATGCATATGGTACATTTTTTAATATTATTAAAATATGTTCTGTTTTAAGTCTTGTTTTCATATACGTTCTTTTCGCAGATAACAGCATTCTAGTAAAAGTAGAAGGTGACGAAGAAGAAGCAAAACGTGCAAATAATCAAGATGGAATACAAGAATCTGATTCAGATACTGAAAATATCTCTGAAAATATAATAGAAGAAACTCATGTGCATAAAAAAAGACATCATAGGTTATCTAGGGAAGCTAGACAAGAAGAAAAGAGAACTAAGTTACTGCAGAGACACCCTTTGAATGTGAAAATTGTGATTAAATTAAAAAGTTAGTAAGTTGTTAACGAAGTAAGTTATTAAGTTCAGATAAAGGTGACATATTTTCAAATATGAATTATTTTCAGGCGAAACAAAACTTACGTTACAATTCTTTTATATGATATTTTTAAAAATTGTAACTGTGGAATCGAAACTAAAAACAGAAGGAATTGGAAATACTAATACAGGGTACCTAATTTTTCACGTTTTTATTCATATGAACGTTATTGATTTGTTTTAAACTTTCAAATGATTTATTTAAAAAATAGCGACATGCTGGTCTCGGAATCAATTTTACGAGAATTATATCCACGAGACTTAGGATTAGAAAGTCCAAATCCTGCTAATAGTTATCAGTTAAGCCGACACAATCTAGGACAATTTGCATTGCTTGGACTAGGAATACCATATAAATGGGCACAAAGAATGGCTGGGTTACATTTCATTTCACCTGATACACGTGAACAGACGGTATAAAATTTGTCGTATAATTAAAACTTTTTACTCGTCAATATTTTAAATCATAATATTATACAGGTTACAAGCTGCGAGTCAACGCAAGATAACGTCGAAAGCGTACTGAGGGAAATTAAAAGACGCGTAAAAGCAAGATTGGAATTGTGTACAGAAATTCGACAATTAGAATCCGGAAATTTACCAGTCTTTACCGCTACTAACGATCTACCACAAAAGCTTAGTACAATATTGCAAAAATTTACAACAATTTCCTGGAATAATTACTCCAACTCTATTAGTCCTGCTTTTGAAGATCAAGGATTGGTATCTTCATTGGATATGTTTTACGAAGCTGTACTTCGAAGGGGAAATAGTAAGTAGAAACATAAATAGAATTTTGAAAAATAAAAAATGAGTGTAAGTTTATTTATTTGAAAACAATCTATTTTAGATGAGCTAATAGCAAAAATAGCTATAAATGCAGATTATCCGAAAATAGCACCAGTATTTAGTATAAACATGAATTCAGTCGTACCTGTACATGGGGACATTTTGAGGGATATGGAAAGGGAAGTAAATGTCATGTGGTCAAAGCCACCAACATTGTCTGCACAACTCCAGCGGTTAAGAGCGTGCTTCGATGTTTATTTAGAAACAGAAAATATTATACCAAAGGAAAAAATATTTTTTCATGCTGTGAAAGGCCGTACTCGAGCTAGACCATATAAATATTTAGAATTAGGCGGTGGAATTTTTATTCACCGTTAAGGTCCCGTACAAAGTAAATACATTTTGACTGAAATACATTAATCTATAAAATACACAATATGATAATGGAAGGAAATATGCAATTCACTCAATGTAGAGGTGAAACAATTGGACGCAATACTGGTACTTCAGAAATTGTTGTAATATACGTTTGTAACTCCTGTGTTAATTTTTCGTTCTCCGCACACAATTTGTCACCTTTCTGTTTCAATAAAATATTATCTACTTTAATACAATTATATTGTTCCCAAAATTTATTGATTTTGCTGTACGATTTAGGTATCTGAAATATTAGACGTATTTTAGGATTATGTTATTAAACAATTCTCGTGAAGTGTACTTACATCAGTATCAACAAATTCAGTGTGTATTGCATTCTGCATGAAATACTTTTTTGCATTGAAAGATGTAGATTCCAAAGCAGAATATATTTTAACTATTTCTAGGACAGCGGAACTTTTCTCTATAATTCGTTGTAAATACTGCAAAAGAAGAAAAATTATTAAATTTTTTATCTTAAGAGATAAATTTACCTACCTTAAAAACTTCATTGCTGGTAATAATTAATTTCTTCATTTGAAAAGAATCGATCATTTGCATTGAAGCAATGTTGTATTTAATATTTTTAAATTTATTGTTCATATCTGTCTCTTTCTCTTTAAGTCTTGTAATATAGTTATTTCTTTTTAATGACAGCATCTCCATACTGCATTTCAAATTTTCAATAGCATTTTGTAACTGTAAATATGTTTTTGGATATTGCTGTATTGATATTTGATGAGTAATGTCTTGCTGTTTTAAATATTCATATTGTTTCCTTTTATTTTCAGTTATTCGCTCATATTCGTTTATTGTTTTATAAAGCTGATCCCAAAGACTTTCAATTTTTAGAAACGACTGGCTCATAAGATTTGATGTTGTCTCTTCCACCTAACTTTGTATAAGTTAAATTAGAGAACATTCAATACTTTTTACACTAATTTTATAATACATTCACGTTATTACCAAATACGTTATACTAAGAATGTTTACAGCATTTTGTATTTTTTTTGTAGATTGTTTTTCATTCGAACTAGCATTCTTCTTTACTATACTATTGTAAATATCTTTGCAATCTTGTTCCAATTGAGATTTCAATTCTTTTAACTTAGTAATATTGTTACGTTTAATATTGTTTAAATTGTACATATCATGTAATATTTTTAATTTTTCTTTAAATTTCCCTGCATATTGTAGGAAGAAAATGAATTATGATTAGAGCTTTATAAAGAGTATATTACAGAGTTAAAATTACATATTTTTAAAAATACCAATTATGTTATTGATTAATATAGTATGGCTTTCATGAAGTTTCCTATGATCCACATCCGCAGTTTTTAAGTCTTTATATAAACAAGTGATTGTTTCATTCTTTACGTTCACTGCTCTTTCAAAAGTTTCACAAACATGTTTTATATCTTCAAAAAGTTCTGTACGTTTTGTTTGTCGCAAAATATATCTCCATTTTTCATTAATTTTAGCATCATTTAATTTGGAAAAAACTCCTTCCCGTTTCAATTTGTTCTATAATAATTCATTCACATGTTAACTTACTAAAGTTATTAAATAAAATCTAATTATAATCAATAAATAGTTTAATACTTTAGTGAAAATAGCAATTAATTGTTGTTTACGCCTTTTTGTTTCTAATTCATATTCAGCACGATGTTGTATATACCGAGCGCGTTCTTCTTCGCTCATTCGAGCAAATTTATCACTTTTGCGTTTTCTTCTTTTCATCATTTCTGTTTAATCTTATTTATATATTCGGTAATAATATTTAATTAACGACGTGTAATGTGATGTTATTTATGATACACTTATAACAGTTCAACGAATTGTAATAATGCATGAAGCACCTTTTAAGTGAAGGATACAATATGAGATACAACGAGAGTTTGATCAATACGAGTTTTTAAGTGAAGAGTATACAGTAGATTCATGTTTGATCAATGCGTTGTAAAAATGACATAACTAAAGTGAAATATACACACCATTAAGTTAACTAAACATTTTTGAATATGTATTACAATTATATTTCATCCCATTTTAATATTTTTGCTACTGTAGGTATTTTTTATAATAGCAATTTTTATAACAGAAAAAACTTTGGAGTAAATGCATATTTTAAAAGGAAGATGTCGAATAAAAACTATAATGTTAATGCTTTTAAGCTTTTCGTAATATAAATTGTGTTCCACTTAAACTCATATCAGGATGTTTCGTTGTACAGTTGAGAATGATCTAATATAAATATTCTGTGTTTTAATTACATGAAATTAATGAAACACCTTTTTAAACATAACTTGTTATTATTCGCGTACTATTATACAACTATTACAAAATATTAGGCATAATACTTTACGACGATTACAATGTTACATGTAAAAAATACATACATCTGTTATAAAAAGATATTTCCTAAATGCGCTCCAGAAATATAACATTACAAAACATTATTATTAACTGTAATATTACTATATACGTAATTTGTATAGGAATTGCAATATAGGAAACATTCGAATGAAACTTATTCGAGACAGTACAAGTAAAAAAACACTGTACAATTATACAAAAACGGCAGGATTTGTGTAAGTAATTATTATAACCTAGAACCACTTTCGTTTATTATGGCGTTTAAGTTTGAATTCAATTTCGTCTATATCTTTATCGATATCTTTCTTAAGTATCTTCTTTAACTTCTTTTCCTTTGATTTACTTGATTTACTTTCCTTTTGTTTCGATTTTGGAACATGATTGGATTCCTTATTTAATATTTCATTCTTATTCTTGACTGAAAAACAGCAGTAAATATATTATTTTCTTATACATTAATAAATATTGACAATGAATATTTTATTTACCAGCAAATAGATCCATATGTTTATGTATACTTTTATCCTCTTCTATTTCTCTACGACGGTCCATTTCTAAGCAATCTACGATCTCGTTTCTCCTCTCGACAATTTCCACCAGTCTATTAAAAATAAAATATTTAAACTACATTTTGTAATTTTATATCGATATTTGCACTTGTCCCTATTTAATTATTTGATCATCAAAATTATTACTAAAAATTTATCATGGTAAATTGTGAATTTAATAGTTATTATTATATATCATTAAGCGTAGATGTAAATTTATATGTACCTTTTTATTAATGCTTCTTCTCTTTGCTTATCAAAATCTGTTTTCATGGATTCTTGTTGCGACATTAAGCACCGAATTTGATATTCTACTTCAACATGTTCTTCCTCTAACCTCTGCTGTCTTCGAAGTAACATCAATTCAGCTTGTCGCCTGAATAGTTCATTTTTTTCATTTACCAAAGCAAACAATTCCAGAACTAACTCCTCCACATCCGTTCCAAGGGAAACATCTGAAATTTTTAGCGTTATTTCCGGTTACTTCTTCGTATAATGTCCAACCTACCACGGAGTTTGAGTAACGAAAATATAGTTTTATCAATTACAATTATAATTTAAATATAATTACCATCAGGTTTGGAATCAGATTCGCATTTACTTCTAATCAGTTGTTCTAATCGCACACCTTGTTTCTCCAAACCTTGTTGCTGTAACTCTATTTCATCCAATTCCAGTTTAACGTCTTTGAGAGACATTACTTTTATCTACAATACACAGTATATAAATATTTAAATTTATAAATCTTTAAATTCCTATATCTCTGTATTACTCTACTTTTTGATTCTTATATTTCTAGTATTTTTTAATATCTTTGAAATATACTATAACGGTTTCCTAAGTAATAGTTTCCTAATAAATTATTTCTTACATGATTTGTATTTTAGCTCATTTCTAAATGCAAACATGTGCAACTTTACTAAATGTAATTTCACAATTTTGCTAATATAGAATACATTAAAATTTACTTTTCTTTTCAATGGCATTGGGCAAGGTGGAGCAGGTCCTTTCTTCCTCTTCCATTTTCCTTCTGTACTCTTGTCTATAAAAGATTTATCACTGAGTCCCTCTTTACATGGAGTGTGCGTGAAACTTTGTCTATTTCTGTTTGCCGCATCTTTACTAATCTTTTCATCCTCCCATACGTTATTTCTTCTGCTTGCATTTCTTGAGTTACATATGGGTGATTCGTCGCAACTTAAAACTGGGTCAATGCTCGTATTACATGGACTGCTAGTTTGTATTGGCGGAGGCGGGGCCGGTTTTATTTTCCGTGTTTTGCCTATTACATTCGGTGATGAAGTCTAAAATTAAAATATTAACTACTTAATTAAATACTACACTTTCATGTAATTGTTTCATTTATTGAAGAATGTGTGACTCTGTTTAGTAGAAAAGAAGAAAATGAATAAAGAAATAAATTTTCACATTAATTTATAATTATATTATAAACATTAGATGTGAAAAGATTAATGAATTTATATGAATAGGGTAGTAAGTTAATGAAAGGAACTACTATTTCTCTTTTTCACAATGTTTTTGTACACTATGATTCTATTAATGTCCAAAAAGTAATATCATTACAGGAGCTGTTTGCCTGAAGATACTCCATATAAAAGGTTGAAACATTGGAAGAAAAATGACAGTAGTTTTCTTTTATTAACCCACTATCTTGTTAAGTAAATTGGTTAGATTAGGTTAGGTTAGGTGAGTAACGATCATGCTACTCACCTAAGTTGTTAAATGCTAAAAGCTAAATTGTTAAATTTAAGTACATGAAAATCAGATCTGTCAATTATGTGACACATATTAAAACTAGTATGTAGTTTGGTTACCAGAGGCAGATTAGGAAGACTATGGTCCTTCCTGTTAGGTGGTAATGGTGCTTGTTTCTTTTTCCGACAAGTTGTTCCAGATGTGCTTGCTGTCTCCAATGAACTACTTGATATGTTCAAACTGCTGTGATTCTGATCTGACTTTAATCCACTTACTCCTGCCTCATGAATGTTTCTACAAGTTAAACAAGTTGTTTCAGTCTGTGGTCCTATTTGAAGCTATTAAATTTACTATAGAGCATCTCAATGAGCATTGGTCTAAATACTCTTTATTATTCATTATTTTATCTCATTTTATGTACCTAAATTTTATTCATACCCATACCTAGTTGTTCGTGGTTTAGGAACTGGCTTAGCCTCTTGTACTTTCGCTTTACACTCTGAATCACTCTCTGGATCATCATCATCGCTCCAAAAGGGATTCAGGTTAATCTGAGGTGCAATTAAACGTATTTTCGTTGATATTTCCTCTTGAGATTGAGATTTAATTGTGGGATCAACATTATTTCTAGTAGCTGGTTTTGGTATCACAAGTTGTTCCTTCTTTTGCTGCAACTCCTCTTCTAAGGCCTCTTCGCTCTCAAATGGATTGGTAGAATTTTTAGCAGCTTGTGAAGGACTGGTTATTGAATTTACATCAGAATTTTCCTCCTCATCACTTTTGAAAGGATTTAGATCTTCTGGATAATCTTCTTCAGTGACAGTAGATGAAGGCTTCACTGAATCAGTTTCGCTTGCAACAGCTGATACTAAATTTTCGTTACTTCCTTTATCTGTGGGTTTCATTTGTAAATGTAATTTTGGAAAATCAATTATTGGATTTTCAGTCTGTTTGTCAGAATTATCAGTAATGTCTTCTGAAATATTCATTTGATTAGCAATCGGTTCACTGATTTTAGAGGAAGTTGGTTTATTGGAACTTGTAACATCTGGAGGTTCGCTGACAGCAGTTACCAAACTACTTTCAGCCTTCACCTCGCCAGCGAGTTTTTCTACTCCTGCAGTATCTAAACCTTTCGAGTCTTTTCTCTGTACTTTGTGCTCCTTATATTGTGCTTTACGTCTTGATATTTCAGTCCGTTGATCCTCTCTTTTCCCACTGTTATCTTTCGCATTTTCAAATAACCTAAGTCTAGCTTGTACCAGGGAATGGCAGTTTTCAGTGTCTGAATGCTTCTGTCCGTCATCACTTTTGTCTGTCACCGGTTCGTCGGCAGTATTGATTTCAGTAAGCGAATTAACAAACTTATCTTTAATAATTTCGTTACTCGAGGCAGCACTTACTTCTTCATCACTGTCGACAATCTCTTCATAGGTAGAGTACTTTTTTGTAAAATTTCGATTCATCTCTTCGTTGGAATCCTCATCATCAAGTGAGCTTCCGTTGCTCTTGAAATGAGATCTTAATTGTGCGGAAGCGACATTCGCACTGCTTCTTTCATCATGGAACGAATCTTTGTTTCTTCTGGATTGAAATTCCAATCGTTCGGAAACAGGCGTTCTCCTCTCTGTTCGATGCTGATCGTTAATCCAGCTTTTAGAATCAACGCCACTTGCCGTGTCTGTTTCAAAATTCATAAAAAATCTTTCTTAAAATCGCTCGAATCTTTTGTCTATAGGGTGGTAAGATAATAAAGGACTTTACAGAAGTACTTCACATCATACTGTGTTAACTACAAAATTAATAAATTGCTGGAAATTTTCTAAATCTCTAATATAACGATTATGATTCAGAGGTATGTTTACGTTGAAAACAAAAGCAGACTTTGAGACCTATTTCATTTGATCAAAATGTAAAGTAAATAGAAACAAAAACTTTGACCTCCAGTGCTTGAAACCATAATCCACAATACATAATTTCTTAATATTCTACAGAATCTGTGTAGCTTGAATTAAAACGTTATCTCACCTTGGCTTGAAAGCAGATGATTCGACATGAAATTCAATCTTAATCGAGACGTTTGCGCTATAATGTCAGGAACGGAAAAATCATCGGGCTCTAACTTTCTAGTACGACTATCGAACGTTTGTGCGTTCGCGTTTTCCTCGTTGCCGAATGATTCAACGACCTCATCCGGTTGGTTCCCATTGGGTATGTCGCTATAGTTTTGCATGGTGGGCGACGGTGGTTCCTCGTCGGGGCACGTTTCGCAGCAATATTGTCCTTTTTCGGTCTCGTAGTAATTACCAAGTGTTAATTGATTGTTGCATCGAGCACAACGGAAACAAGTACGGTGATAAGCGACATGGCCGAGTACCAGCTTTTCCGCTAGGAAAACCGGAAGTCCACAAACAGCACACGGATCCCTCCGCATACCCTGACCCAACGCCGCCTACGTCATTGTTAATGCCAGAAATTAAATGGGTAAATTAAGCACGTGTCATGATGAAATAATATTGTACAGGGTGTTTCGTAAAAAGCAGAAACGGTAACTGGTATAACACAAATTCAGAACTACAGCGGTCGAGCTGTATTGAAAGCACGCTCAAAAATTCAAGCGAAATTTACAGGAGGAAAATTGGAAATTTGTATCGATTGGAAAGAAGTTAAATATTCATGAAAAGGAAGAGTCGTTCGATTTCGATGAATTTGAAATATTTTGTCAAGGTTTATTGTATTGTGTGGTGCTGTGAAGAATTAGTTTGGGTTACTTAATTTGTAGTAAAAAGTTGTTATAAAAAGAAACATATATGTTGATTAAATGTATTGTTTATTTTGAAAGTCGTACAGTTCATTTTCATTTATTTTGAGAAAATTAAAGGTTATATGTCAATGAAAAAATATAGGTTAATTATATCAAGACTGGCAATTCAGCAATTTTTTTTAATGATTGATCAATATGTAATTTGATTATACAAATTTGTTCAAGGTGATTTAACTGAAATAATGTATACTTGTACAAATGGATTTATAACATTTTCAAAATAAACGGTTCAAATATAAAAGAATTATTGATCTAATTGTAAAAGATAGTTATGTATCCTAATCGAAGTTAATGATTATAACCTTCGATTGTAACCTAACATGACTTCGCTTATAATTTAACCTCAACCAACACTGATTTAACCTTAACGTAAACTAATTATATGTTTACTTAACATAACAGTAATTTATATATAAATTTGTTTAATTTAACAAAATCTTCATGTAATCCTAACTTAATCACCTTAACTTCATCTTAACATGCTCTAATCCTACAGTAATTTAACTGTAATATACCTAATTTAATATACCCAACCTAACCACAAACTGACTTAACCTAACCTTAATTATATTCTATCTCAAGTGTAATTTTAGTTTTATTATAATCAAATTCTAACTGATAACAAAATCGATAAAAATTAAATTGAATACTTTGTTAAGTACGTAATCATAACAGAACAGTTATTAATTATTAAAATCAAATTTTTCTGCAAATAGTTACTAAATAAAGGGTTTTTCATAAGTGAACTTACTATATTTTAGTATGGCGTATTCTATTACTACTTATCCCCCATACCATCCGTTTATTTCTTTTTAAAGAATATCTCTACTATAACACATTCGGATATACTATATTTCAATATATAGCCGATATTATTCGTTTACCTATGAATCTTAGCAAAATGTATATCCAGATAATTTCACTTTGAAACAGTGTATATTTATTTTATATTGTGTATATTTAGTAGTAAAATATGTCACATTGAAATTTTAAGTATGTTGTATACGAAATATGAAGTCGTTTCAAAATCCGCATTTGTGATAATGATGAAGTTGTGCAGAATATTGTCCTTGACAAAATATTTCAAGGTCAACGAAATCGGTGAACTTCCTTTTTTTGAATAGTTACCAACTTTGTTTAACACATTATGCCAATATCCTCTTAGACACGACGCGCCATTATAGTGGCCTTCGCGGACATCTTTTTGTACGCGGTCCACTATAGTGGCTTTCCCGAATGACGTATGTCACATAGCACAACTATACTGACTCACTCTACTGCCTCGCTCGCTCACCGCTTCAATCGAATGATCGTTTTCATGTTTTGATTCGCATTTTTTGCTTTCACTACGTTTTATAAGAGTATTAACAAATCCCACAAAAGTACATTACATGTAAATAAAAGGCAACGCCAAGTAATTTAAGCGTCATGTAGCACCTCTTTGCACTAATACGATATTGGAAACATTTGCAAATTACATATTTTGTGAATTTTCTAAAAAAGTAAATTATCAAAGTTAAAGTATATGTATCATATCTTTGAGAAAAATTATAATTTAATCATCAAACACTTCATTTCAATGTACTAGCGTAGAGAACAGCATTGTCACACATTGTAGTGCTGTTTACGCTTCGTATCCAATTCTAGCGTATAGCCTCGCGTAAGTCGTGCCTAAGAGGAATAGAGCAAAATTTGAATTGGTACCAAATTCACGTGTAAAATAGAGAATAATCTAAGTGTACAGAAACTGGTTTCCGTCATGCAAGCATAAATATGGCATTATATTAAATCATTTTTAATAATGTTTGTTAATTGTATTGCTTTAACTTATTTAATTTTGTTTAATTAACCTGTTAGAAACAAAATAAAATATTAATGTTATTAAATATATTATCTTTGTTAAATTACTATGTATGATATACATAGTTTTTAGGTAAGTTGTAACACATCACTCAATAAGTCCCCGGTCTGACACGTATATGGCGACACTCTTGACAGACCCACGTGATTTCCGGATAATACTAACTTTCAAACAGTACGTGTCAAAATTTCATGGTATTCTGACCGTTAGTTTAGAAGTTACAATCGTTTTAGTACACCCAGTTTCGTAATTTTGAAGACAATGGATAGAAAAGAATTTCGTGTGTTGATTAAACACTGTTTTTTGATCGGGAAAAATACTGTTGAAGCCAAACAGTGGCTTGATAAGCATTATGGGGACTCTGCACCAGGGAAATCAACTATCATTGACTGGTATGCTGAATTTAAACGCGGTCGTACAAGCACCGATGATGCTGAACGCTCTGGTCGCCCAAAATCAGCAGTTGTTCCGGAAAACATAAAAAATGTCTACAAAATAGTTTTAAAAGACCGTAAACTGAAATTGCGTGAGATAGCTGATGCCTTGAAAATATCAGAAGGTAGTGTCTTCACAATTTTGCCCGATAATTTGAGCATGTACAAATTGCTTTCAAAGTGGGTGCCGCGTTTGCTGTTTCACCAAAACAATGCGCCGTGTCACAAGTCGATGAACACAATGGTTAATTTGTATGAATTACGTTTTGAATTACTCCCCCACCCACCGTACACCTCAGATTTGGCCCCAGCGACTACTGGCTCTTTGCAGGTACGAAAAAGATGCTCCAGGGAGAGAAATTTGGCTCAAATGAGGAAGTGATTGCGGCAACTGAGGCTTATTTTGAGGCAAAGAAAAATTGTTTTACATAAAGGGCATTGAAAAGTTAGAGGAGCTTTGGAATCAATGTATCAACACTGGAAGGAGAGTATATTGATGAACAAAGTGGAATTTCTAAAACAAAATTTGTTTTTCTTAGTTAGACCGGAGATTTATTGAGTGATGTGTTATATTTATTTATACGGATTATTATCTTTATTTAAATGATTTTGTCATTTTTTCTAGGGGAACCTAACGTGCTGGTGACGGTACATGCGTATAACATTAACGACAGTTTAATTTAAATTAATCTTGTATTAGAAATAATGAGGATAATAATAAAATGTTATATCTCATTTATATTATTAACTTTATTAATCAACATACATGTTTTCGACATAAACAAATAACGAAAGAAAATCGATAAGAACTATTCTTTCTCTGTCTTTTTTGGATGAAATTACAAAAATAACTATGCGAAAAAGACTACGTTATGCCTTTAATATCCTTAATTAAAAATATAAAATTGATAACACGAAAATCAAGTTGCAGATTATACAAGTAAATATAAATTTATAGCATTATACTTAAGTTTAGTCAAATTTCAAATAAATACTGAATGTAAAATGTCTAATAGAACATTCACAAGGGCTGTTCTAAAAAGCAGTATGTATTCATAAAAATCAGGTACTGTATTTCTTAAGCTTTAATATTTTTCCATTTGTAACTATTTTTTATTAAACTAGGTTTTTTACTTAATTAACAAGTTAAAAATACTAGTTTTTTTATTAAATTATTTCTTATGTATAAATATTCATAATTTAATTATTTGTACATATATAAACTTCTAGGCATGAAATGTTTTCAATAGAAACACCATTTCTGTTTTCACATAAGGCAGAAAATATTAAACATACGAAATTTCAATACTTAAATATTTTTATGGTTCGATCACATTAATACACTATATTAATTTAATCACGATCTATATTTTTACTAAAATTTCCATATTCTGCGATTCTATAAAAAAGTTGTCGATGTACAATCAAATTTTTGCACAAGACTCATTTTTTTTGTGAAAATCAATTTATTTAACGATTCTTTTTATTATGGAATCTCATTACATGTTTAAAAAAAAAGAAATCAATTTTTAATATCTTTATTCTATTAATCTAGATAAAAAGATAAGTAGATAACAATTTAGATAATTGATATTCAGATAAAAATCAGAGAGCAGATAATTAGATGACAGTTTAAATAAAATGAGATAAAATAGATAATTATAGTAGATAAGTAGATAATATCCACTTTACACCCTGTGTTTTCTATATAGATACTAAAATTAAGTTTTCAACTATATAGATACTAAAGTTAAGTTTTCAAAATTAATATTACCTAAACCGGAGTCTCACGTACAAAAATTCTATTATACATTTCTACTTCAGTTTTTCGAAAAAAATTGTCTGTTTTACGAAACACTCTGTGTACAGAATAATCTGCAAACGATCGGAACATGATTTTCTACCAAAAAATGAAAAATAATATTTAGAATTATTTCCAATAATATTTGTTTATGTAATTTTCATAAAAATGAAATAACAGTAGTTTTATTTAAATATTTATCAAGCACACATGCACGGTAATATCTGGATCTAAAATATTCTTCCTTTATTTGCAAAACAATTATATAACAACGTTAAACAATTACCTTAAAAAGAATTTCAATTTAGTGCGCTCCTCTTTAAAAATATCTACGAGGTTTCCATAGTCCTTTTTATTTCTGATCTTTCCACGTTTTCTCTCTAATTTCTTGGAACTTTTATCATTCATATATAAAATCATACATAAAAATTCTACAGCGAAGGAGAATTTATTATGATTGCAAAATTGAGAATTTTCGTGTGTTAGTGTGTGAGCGAATTTAGTGCCGCCCGTCGGGGAGCTACGAGTCTTTTAGACTCTTTCTATTCATTCTTGAAGCTTTCTTTTCTTCTAAGGAAACCTAGGTGTCACTTTTCGGTTTTGATAAAGCTAAAATACGTCGAAGAGTATTAAAAAAGAAGCGATAAATTTTTTATATATTTCATTTAATGGTAGAACATCTATGTTACAATTTTTATATAACTTCCAGATTTATTTGTAGATTCATCTGCACGAGAGTATCTGCTGCATGATCTGCGCATGCGCTCCCCAACCTGCGCAGATCGAGCCTCAGTTTAACTTGCAAATGCGCATACCTATCTGACAGGCCCAAGAGTCTCTTCTATTCTTATATTTTATTGATTTATACTTTACAAGTGAGTCCCTGATCAAATCTTTTGTTAAATTAAGTATTTTGTGCAATATTTTCAAGTAATGTTATCTTTCAAATACATCATAATAATATCGAACATTTTTTAACAGACAAAAAAAGTGTTGCTTATTTCTTCACCCTCTTGAACATACTTTAGTTACCAAAAATTGGAGAGCTCTTGCTCTTGCTAAAGAATGCAGCTATAAAATTATTGTACCAACACAAAGCAAAAAATTCCATCATCTTTGGATTACTTTTTAAAAATTTAGAAATTTGAGAATTTTTAAATTAAAAAATTTCATTATTAAGAAAGTCTGAAGCTTGAGAATTTGGAAATTTGGAAACTTCAGGATTTAGTAATTAGCAATTTTATAATTTCAGAAGTGAAGAATTGAAGAATCTAAAAATTTAGGGATTTGAAAAAGTAAAAATTAAGAAACTTAAGAATTACAAATATTGAATATTTTAGAGTTTTTAAATTAAGGAATTTAAGAACCACAAATTTAAAGAATAATTTACAAATTTTCTAAATTTTGGAAAGAAGTTCCCTAAAATTAAAATGACATATGGAGGGAAAAGAGAGGGGTCATCTTAGTCCCTATCTATAATTAAATATGCCAATATCAGTTCCATGTTGGAAAAATGGGGATAGTGGTTAAATGTGATTCGCAAATCAAAACTCGATCATGTCAATGTCACTGTATAGTGCAAACTAATTCAATAAAACAAGTACATAAATTCTGTTGTAACTGTGAGTAACAGATACCGCCAGAACCATTTTTCGGGTACACAATCAGGGTCTAATCATATGTGATAGAATTAAAACACAAGCCATTAAATGACAATTTAACCACCACCATAACACAAGAAAATGAATTTTGAAAAATGCTAATAGCACTGATCAACAAAATTAAAGATTAAACCTGTGACATTCCATAGGTATTTCTGATAGATTTTTATGTTCCACATTTGAATTTCAAGACTCATTTTTGCTCTATGCATTGCTCTATTTGAGCAGTAATAGTTATTGCGTCTATTTTATATCTAATAATTTTATGAATTTTCTCAAATAAAATTAATTAATTTTTAAATATAACCAATGAATATCCAAAACACGTCAATTTTTTGCAAGCAGCTTTTAGCTTAATTTTATTACTTTGTTCAATTCAATTAGTATAATATATTTTAAAATCTAAGGATTTAGAAAAAATACAGAGTTCAAAATAGCGGATGTATAATTATAGAAATCAACTCGATTCGCTTGAATTTATTATTCTGTATTTCCTTGCATTTCTTACTTCATGTTATATTTTTGACTTCATATTTGTAACTAACGACTTAAAAACCCTCCAAATAACAAGATTCGAGTAAATTGTATTAGTTTTTAGATTTACTTCCGCCAAAACTGATTACATTCGCCATATTGAAACAGCCATTTTGAATTTTGTATTTTTAATTTTAAATTTGTACTTAACCTAAAATGCTTGAAATACTAAGTTTCAAAAAATTGTACTATGAAAAAACTTCAGACAGAGCATTAAGCACAAAACATGTTTAAAGTCAAAAATTTATAACTTCAAAGAATAAACTTTGGTAATTTTTCTTTTCCAAATCAAACTTCTGAAAAATTAAGACTACTGACAAAAAATGAGTTTTAAATTCGTATACGATACATACAAATCTATGTGCACATAATAAATACCTATTGAATGATACAAGAAAAGATGGATGCTGAAGAGTATAATTGTCAGAAACAGATTCAGGACATTCAACTGTATAATATAATACATAACTGTTATCAAATTCAGTTACAGAATAGAAAAATCATAGAATGACATGCTGATTGAGATTCGAAGAATCCAATTTCAGAGAAACAATTTTTGAAGAGATCATAAACTATTAACAACGGTAATAACTAGGGGAACAACACAAATACATGCTACAAACCCTAGAAAAAATAAAAGAGAACATACCGAGAAGATTCATGAGGAGATGTACATTTCAACTTCGCTCAGTGGAAGGCACCCATTGTTGAGAGCACACCATGTACACTAAGGTGCAACGTAGGTTTCCCTTAGTTAAAGAGGTAGTATAAGATGAGTGTTTAGATTAAGCTCTTACTGGTCTTCCCCCATGCTCTTCCTAAGCTTTTATTACGGTTTACATACCTAAGCTCTCTGAGGTTCTGTATACCTAGAATCCTCCTCAATTCTCCCCAGACTCTTCCTGAATTCTCTTTGGAATCTCCTTAGATTTTCCTTAGGCTTTCCTTGGTTTTTTCTGAATTCGTTTTAGCTTTAAGTTTTTCCTACACTCTGCCTAGACTCATCTTAAATTTCTACACTTCCTAGGTTTTACCCAGACTCATTTTGCATTCTTTTAAAGTGTTTTCTGAATTTTAACTATATTCTCCCTAGATTTTCCTTAAACTCTTCCTATACTTTCATTACGTTCTAAAGTTCTCCCTAATGCCATTTAGACCAGAGGTTATCAACAAGTGGCATGTGTGCCACTAATTATATACAAAAACAGCTAATTGGCACACGAAATCTTATTTTCGGTATTCGAAAACAAATATAGCTGGTATTTGATTAAATCAAACCTTAAATGAGAAGCAAGTTTACATTACAAATTTGGTAAAAGAAAACCAAATATATTGAAACTAGATTTTATCAAGTACAAATATCGCATTAAGTAAAATCAGTTTGTATGAACATATGCATATTGTTCATTACTCAATTTTCTTATAACCTATTATTTTCTATTTAAGTTCCCCTTTTAAGTTCTCCCTGTATTTTACTAAAATCGATGGTGACTGGTTGTAGATTTCAATTTCTACACTTATTCTTAGCTAAAAGAAACCAATGTTGCACCCAAGTGTATATAGTCAAGATGACTGTATTCATAGCCATCCATGGCTGAAGATGACTATAGTCAACTTTTTAAATTTCTTGCAATCTAACATCATTTCTAGATATCATACATAGAATTTTTAAACCTTCAATGCTGATGCATAATCCTGCATATTGGTGAAGGAATATTTAATAAAATTATGCATGTTTCTATAACTGTTTGCTTCAATAGTTTTTGCTTTTCATATATTGCATAATAAAATAAGATTCAAGAATCAAAACCAGTATTTGTGTGTGAAAAATTCAAGTCACTATTGGAGGATTAATGTTTTTCAAAAAATTGTTTTATTATTTTTTTCCTTAATATTGTGATATATTTCTTTCTTCTCACTAAAATATCTTCTTTTCTAATTTCATAACCATTTTTTTCCTTTAAATGGGACACATGTATCCTTTTATTTGGAAGGCATAATTTTTTCTTTTCATTTTATAAGATTGCAATGATCAGCACCAACTCAAAGATAACCATTTTGAAATAATCAAAATTGCAGAAGAATTGATTTTTCTTAACAAGATCTTGCTAGAATTCAGAATCTAGTTAAAAATGTTGAAAAATCTCGGATATACAAACAATTATGTTCAATATATAGTAATAACTTGAATATATACATAACAAAGGAAGGAAAGATTAATTGTGACATGTTCAATCTTTGTTAGATCAACAAGATAAATGATACGAAACTTAATTTCAAACAAATATGACTTTTAATTTTCATCATACTGTTCAAATTCTGATAACAAAACTTACGGTGGCGATGCTTGTACCTTTTTATAATAAAATATTGTACACAAACAAGGAACAAACGAAAATAAAGAACCACACTTAATTTTACTTGTGACTTAACTAAAGGTGTTGCTATCGATAACATTATCAATAAATATCATAAACGAAATATGTAACGTATAATTTGATCGGATTTATTTAACTTATTGACACTAAATGATAGAACAATAATATCGTTAACGCGTAATTTTATTACTTAAATCTATTTATTCTTGTTTGAATTCCGTAAAGAGCCCAACCTAAGGCATACGAGCCTAACATATATCATGTGGCTGTAATAAAGCCTAACCTATGAGCTATTCAGGTTAGGTTAGGTTTTAAATTCAAATAAGAATAAATAGATTTGAACAAGAAAATTATGCGTTACATTTGACGTTCAATCGCTTTAATTAAAGTCGACGATATCATCAATATATCGTTCGGTATCAATAAGGTATCTGTAAGTTATCAACAATTAATAGCACCACCTCTAATTCAAACTATTTAGTTGTCCTTAAACGTACAACGCTGTTTTTGATTTTCTGAACAGTGCAGTCAAAATATTGACGTAAACAGGCGATATAATAAATATTATAATCTAAATTGTAGCATTTGGTACAAATACAAACTTAAAATAAGCTGGTAATCTTACGATTTAACCCTTGGACGGCGGATACTGGGTCACTCAAGATACAGTTTTAATCCTTTGCGGACAATACCTACATGTTTCTGCCACAAAAGAATCTGGGATAATTATTCGGAGTAGGGAGTTCCCTACTGATTTCAATTACTTTGAAACATGTTGTCAAGGTTGGCATCCAGAGTAACTTGGTTCATATGTATGAACAACCATCTTTTGATCTTAGTTTCTAAGATATGCGCAAAAAACTTCAATTACAATTATGTTACAAGTATATACTACTTGGTACAAATATTACATTCCAAAAGACTGTACTATGTTATTGTATAAGATCCATCAATAATTGATACATCATATCTTGAATTTATTATATGATAGTAGAATATATTAGGTTTAAGTATTGAGTGTATTTTAGGAAATATTAAAAAAAAAAAAAGGACTTTTCTCAACTAGTAAAAGTTGCTGAGAATATTGTCCTTGACAACATATTTCAAGGTCAATGAAATCTCTATTCTGAATAATTACCGAATCTGGTAAAGCGTTTGCAGCTAAAGACCATAGTTGGACGCTTATTCACGCAGCTAAATATTTTCAGCGCGAGTGATCAGTGAAACATAAATTTCAGAGCAATAAGAAGTTTAAGCTTCGTTTAAAATTGTACGAGACAAAACCGAAATTAATTTCTCGGTTCCAAAATGAGATTCAAAGTATAGTATAGCTTAACCCTTGGTGTCATGTTTTTTTTTTAGTAAATTTCTCTTTTTGAAACTTACTTTTTCTGGGACTTACTGGATCACTAATTATGAATATAAAATTAAAAATGGTTGATCCAATATGATTCTAAAAATTAATGTAATTTAAGTCAAAAGTATAAAATTCAAAAAAGGGGGTGTAATTCATTATTAGAATATAAATTTATTTATAAATGGTTCCATGAAGACTTTGTTCTTAGCATGACAAATTTTTCATGAAACATCTTTCCTATAGAGTATTTTTACTTCTAGATAATGAATATTATAGCAAAAAAGAGGAAAGATATGATTAAAAAAACGTATATATCTTCATCTTTTTCAAAAATTTAGTAGGAAGACTACAAAAACGTGAACAGGCAAATCATTATGTCAGTTAATCAAACTTTTAATTAAATGTGTAGTAAGTGAAACTTAAATGCATGTGCAATATTACATAAATGCATCATCAATTGTACAAAATAACTAAAAGAACAAAAATAAAAATCTAATGTCATATCTGAAGTTTAAGCATTAAGTAGTTAATCAATCATAAGCAATTTTCCTGGCACAAATAAAGGATACTAAAAGAAAGGAAATTATAATCATATTATTGTAATGATTATTCAAATAAATAAAACTTGTATATAGAATGCTGTTTGTATTATTTAAAAAAGTGTCATTAAATGCTAGATCTTAAATCATATAATATCATTGATGAGTATTTCTGTTAAATGCAAAAAAATTGTGACAAATGACTCAAGCAAGTATCATTTTACTGCTTTACATATCAAATCATCCCATCCACAAAGGACTAAATCTATTTTGTACTGAACTAAGACTGTGACGTATGAGTGACATTGTAACAATCGTGTAATAATTCAAAAGGAAATTATACATTCAAATTTTGTATAAAGAAAATAATCATTATTTAATTGTGCAATAACAATTGTGCAATAACAGTTAACAAGTCTTGTTAACTGCCCAAGAATGGAACTGAATCTGGACAGTTATTTAAAGAGATATACATTTTTCCCTTGTGATAGGAATTGACCTTCTTGAAAACTACATTGAATAAGCTTATTGTATACTTTCCTTTCGATTGCTATATACTAGAATAATTTAAGAAAGCTAAAATATTTGATAACATAAAATTTTAATATAAGTGTGCTTGAAAATATGTACAAAAAATTTAATCATTGTGCTATCCGCTGTCAAAGGGTTAATACTACTATTGTCGAACTTTAAAACTATTATTAAGCGAGATTCTTAAAAAAAGAAACCAAAAACATTAATTAATTTTTTACGTTCCATACAACAAAGACTTCTGTACCTTTTCTTTCGGAGACTCAGGTATTGGTGCGATCTTCTCCTCTGTGGTTTCTGTTGTTCTGTTTACTGCAAGCCGACTTGGCGATGAACCTAAAAGAGAGATGTTAATTCAAATGATGAAATAATAACCTAGATTGCTATTAAACAAAGTGTATTAAAGTTAAATGGTTAAACTTCATCGGTTATGTACATTCTTTAAATAGAGTAGTTATATATTATTTAAATACTACTGAAAAATATATACACATAGTTTATCAAGTAATTATAAAAAGTTATAATAAAAACAAAACAAGTTATAATAAATCCACAATAAAAGGGGTTTCAGAGTAATGTTAATAATCTACTTTCTAAATATGGTTACAGAAAATTTCATCCAAAATTAAAGATAAAAAGAATCTTGAAAATGATTACCTTTTTCAAATGTTCGAATAAATGTTAACACTTAATTGTTTTTGATCACTAATACAAAGTACCTTTTAATTTATCTAATATTATATCACATTACCTTCTGTCATAACTTTAAAATAAAAAGCAGCACAAGAAGCTAGCAAGAACGCGTATTTATTGTATGTTATACCAATTTTGCTTATAGCTCACTCAAAATGTGCATGTACACCTTATCTTTCATGCATAAATAAAATAATGAAAGGCAAGTCTGATAACTAAAAAAAACTGTTTTTAAAGTAACTTGAATATACAAAAGTGTACATGTGTGATATATGAATAAATTTAAATTGATTTAAATAAATACAAGTTAAAGTATTTTGAATTAAATAGTTCACAATTTAATTATGACTCGAAAACTGATAACAAACAATCTGAATCAGAATATTTGCTTGTACATAATTTTTGAGAGACCTCTTTAAAAATATGATATTAAACTACATTTAACCAAATGTAAAATATGGAATTGTTTTTTTTTTCTAAGTAAAACAAAATACTTAACATAAAGACTTTGTAACTCTAAGAATATAGTCAACAAAATCTGTATTTATACACTAAAAAAATTTCTCCAACTTTTTCAAGTCACATGTTTTTAAGTGTGTCCTCAAAATACTGTACAATACCAAATGTTTCTAATAACTATTTTGTATTTATTAAAATCAAATAATAATTAACGATTTACTTATTATTAACTGTCATGATTTATTTCTTTAAATATTTTATATTTCAGAGACTTATGAATACTTTATCTACATTATATCTTCTAAAAATGAATATTTGTAAAAATAGTCCTAATGATTAAAATAATTAAATACATTTGTTTGCATATATTTACCACCGAATGTTTGGTAGAACTGTGAGAGGTAAGTAAGAATTGACAATCGATCAGGTACAGAACAAGAGGCCATATCTTCAGCATCTAAAAGTGCTGGAATTCCTAAATGCTGTTCCGCTATTTTGAAAGCCAACTCATTGTTTTCATAAACATTGTCCTTGTCTAAACTATTGAAGTCACTGTAACCATACAATAATATTAATTGCAATGAGTATGTATGTGCTAACAACTGTGTGTGTATTCTAGTGTGTGCACAGTATTAAAAAATATGAATATTCATCAAGAAGATAAAATATCTGTGAGGTACCATGGATTAGAATCTAATTATTCTCTTGAAAAATGAAGTTAAAGCTTCATTACTGACTTTATTTATAATATAGACAGCAATTGTGGTATAATAAAAAAAGAGATGTTTTGGTATGAAGAAAAAAATATACTGTGAAACTTTTTGGTCTGAAATTTTGTTTCTAAATAAAACAATTTTGCATATTCATCACGCGCAATAGATGTTATTCAGTTATAAATTATTTTAGTCACAGCAACAAAGTCATATTCTTCTTACAAAATGTATAATTTAGGCTCATTAAAGATATAACACTTTAAGAGATATTTTATATTTTATACAATTATACAAACGTTAGCGGTGAATCACACGTCGCTATCGTATTTATTACAATCATATCATATTTACTATAGTTCTTGTGATC